TCCGCGGTCGCGGCCCTGGGTCTCCGTCCCCGTGAATGGGGTCGGCGGCAGCCAACGGCCTATCCTCCCCTCCCTTTCGGAGGGAAGACACGGACGAGGCTTGGCGTCAGTCGTGCGCTGAGAACCCTGGCATGCCAGATGTAGCTTCAATCCTTTCCTCTTTAAAAACCTGATAAATTTGAAGAGTGGTGACACTGGGAATAAATTGCATCATTACGACTAGACCGATGCAAACGAAATCGGTACTAGCCGCAGAACCAGGACCAATTAGAAATAGAAACAGTGTGCAACTGTTTGTCCAAATTAAAAATGCTGTAGGAAACTGCGTAATTGGTAACGGGCCTATCCTTACTATCAAGATGTCATATCGATCTCGTTGTATGCCCTTTAAAACTGTACCTAGCGTCCACGAGCGCCTACTGACGGAGACGGAGAACGATTTCGACCGGGATCTCTTGACTTACCAAACGAAACCCTCTGATGTGGAGGCAAGAAAATGACTAATGTTTACACTGTGTGTGTTAGAAAACACATCGACGTGCGACCCGATAGCAACTCACACTTTCGCGATGGGGGACGGAAACACTGGTGGCAAACCCGTGCCCACGCTACATTCTAACGTTTACATGTCGCTCCTTTCTTTACACCGCTCTCTGCATTTGTGACTTTAACTATTGTAAGGATGTGTGGACCCCGGCATGATTCAGGGCTGGTCATTTTGCGCAGCAAGCACTAGGATCAGCACCAGGCTGGATCCGCTTTTGCCAAGTGGTGCGCTTGTACGGCAACAGTTCGTCCTTTTTTAGGATTATAATGACCAGGGAAGCAAGTGGATTTATATGATAAGGCTACATATTGCATTTTGATGGCTCAGTAGGACTTGAGTTAAATTGAAAATGTTTTCTAAATGTACACTGAGTCCTGAAGTCAAATTGCTTAGGCCTGCGACGACATTAGCCATTTGATTAGAGTACGCATGAAGTTTCACGTGTCATTAAGACCGAAGGTCACGACCATTTAGACTGACCTCCGATACATCTTAAGGTATGAGTTTGCTGAGTGGGTGTGCATGATGAAGAATGATTTTATATGGTTTCACCCCAGATATCGATCATGGCATAGGCCCTTTACCTATTACACAGCTACCGATCGTATGCTGCAGTTCGATATAAAGTGGTGCACTGATTATAATTTTAAGCAGTCCTAGTGTGCGAAGGTTTCGCCGATCTAGTTCCGATGATGCAATTTACTCTGACTAGTACTTTCTCATCTCGCTGGGCTCAAGATAATACATAGGTCCATGCTACGTCAAAGGGACATGTTTTGCCACGATGCGCACCAAGAGAGTTGGAAGGGGGAAGGAAGGTGACGTCAGGGTATGAAGCTATTAGTGGTCACAATCAAACGCGCCTGTTGTGCGCAGTGGCCAACGTGAGCTTATGAGGACAAGCCGGAGCAGCGATCATGTAAACCAAGTTGAGTTTTTATAGCCTCAAGGAAATTATGCACAGGCGCACAACTTTAGCGAAGGGGTCGGCGATCTAGTTTACTGTTTATTCAGATATAATTTAAAAAAGTTGCTGCATCAAGTCATGTATAACAGGTTGATATTTATAACCTTATAGGCAATTTGATTCAGGAGACAGCGGACGCTAGACTAGGAGTCCAATTACCACCGCGCTAGTCCCAGTGAGTCATCATGACGTAATTCCTCGCCTTTTCCTCGTAGGCGATTTATCTGCTCTCCGGGTTGGATCATGAAGTTGACAACGAGCTCAATAGTTGCCCATAAACCCCACTGGACGAAGAGCATCTTGTCATGTGCTACTGAACATAGAGAATCGGTACTTACTCTTAGCAAGGTCATCACGGTCTTGGGGGGATTCTCTTTGCGGGACCTGGCTCAACCTTAGCGGAGGGGCCGGCGATTTAGTTTACCGTTTAACAACATTTTAGGGATTGTTCGTTGTATTTCTTTTTATTTGACCAATCAGAGCATTTTGGTGTGAGGGGGCGGATGGTTATTGCGAGGGTATGCTTGACGCCACCCTTACCTTTTTGATACCTCCAATGAGTTTTGGTACTGGTTCGGGACTTTCGCACAAATCTGGTACGAATATTGACAGTTGCTCTAAAGCATACTGCTGGAGATGCTCTGGGTGGTTTACTACAAAAACTGCATTGACAAGTAGATGCAACATACGTATCGCGTTTAATAGCCTAAAGACGCCAGCTACTGATTTAGCACAGCTTCAACAGTTCGTTTTTACCCGTGACCTGTGAGGTATTCTACTACCGTTAACGTACTGTAACTGACTTTTACTCAGCAACGATGGCTTTGAATAGCTCCAGAGTCAATGGTGAAGATGACGAGCTTTACTGATTTCGCTAGCGATCGTGTATGTTAGCCAGGTCATATAGCGGACACCAAACACATAACGGACGAGACGGGATCCGGAGGCGGAGAAAGAAAAACGGATGTCACCTGTTAACTGAAACCCCCGCTGCCACAGTGTAACCGAGTTGCCCACCAGCGCGACACCACAGGGACAACAGCGGTTATTTTTCAGGAATCATTTCGCAAAACCATTGTGCTCATTTGATTCGATGTATTCGACACATTTTGTATCGATCTGTGGTAGAATGTAGTCTGGTTCATGGCTGTTACGCTGACTCACAAAACGGGTAGGGCATAGGCAAGAACAAAACAAGAAATTGTACAGCATGCACGTTGCAATGGTAGCACGTCCATCAAAAGTGCCGATAGAACTACACCGATGCTGCTATCACGCAAATTGACTCCACTCATGGCGCTCTTGGAAGCATTCGATGATGCTTGTTGCAGTTCGCCATATTGTTTCGCTTGAAAATTCCACAAAAGTCGACCTTTTTGTGTGGACGATGGTGGATACTCAATGCACGATCGCGAGCTCTGCATCGTCACATGTTCAGTGCAGACATGAGCGCTTCATGTACTAGATGGTCGACGGGCATTCCGTTCTGGTGGTGCAATTCGATTCGTTTGGCTTTGCTCTCTGTTTCTTCACTACAGCGACAGCTAAGGAGCAACCCTGTGAAGGCGAAGCCTGTGTCCGTTCAGCTACAGTTACGTTGACCGCAGCTACATGCCTACTGTTACTTTCGGTTACTTATTATCTATCTACCTGTTTGTTGACTCAAGCGCACGTTTTGTAACAAGCCAAGGTGGAGTAGACTGATTACCTTTTTGCACTGGCACATTGGTATGCCTGCTCTGCAATAGTTGGTCGCTAGACTACAAGCCAACCGGACACGACACCCGAATGATCCCTTGTTTATTGAAAGGTTCTCTAGCTTGAAGTTTTACGTGTATCGACGGTTCGACGAAACTTCCCAGGTCGAAAGAAGGACATGCCTCAAAGCAGAACTTGTACAATCTACTGCATTCCTCTGTTGCATGCGTCACCACACTTTCAGAAGCTTGTATCGCTTTGCATATTACATGTGCGTGCAGCAGCGTGAACATCAACCTATCAAGATTGGGCGGAATCTTTGTGGTAACAATCCGAGGCTTAGAGCTTCTCTCGTCTGAGCATCACATCTGCGAATGTCCGGGTCGCTAATTTGTTTTTAGCGGACTCTTCATTTAAGGTGCTTTTTAGGGTTGCGTCGACGCCAAATATATGGTGCAAAACGCTGAACTCTAATCGCTATCTTACAAGCGCAATCCACTTGAGCCTTATCTCAGTACCACCACCCACCAAGTGCCTCCAACAGACTGACGTTGATACCTAACAAAGGTGCTACTGACTGCGCGGTATCGAGATTCCCATTCGTGTCACACACACACACACTACATGCGGTAGACCCTCGCTTCTATAACTCTCACAACGACTTTTCTTCGGCACTCAGCGCGAGGCAGAACTGCGTTAGCAGATGGATAGCCTTGTGGTACACCTCGAATCTCGCACATCGTTCCAATTCACTCACCATCTAACGCCACGCAGCATCTTGACCAGCTCTATCCTGAGATCCCATTACTGCCATCTTCATCGTGCCCTTCATCGTGCCTATCAACGTAAAGTCACCACTGTCCAGTCGTACAAAAAGCAAGGCTCGTCCGCTAGTGCGTGCGAGAGACTGATCGGCATAGGCGCCGAGGCATGAAAAATCCATGCTGGATGTTCGCTTCCGTACCCGTGACGACATTTCTGAAGTCACGTTTCCAGTCGATACAGTTGCTCAGGCGTGGCTGACATGCAGCAGCATGCTAAGTTTTAGGTTGTCGACTGACCTCGTGGTCAAAAGAACTCCATTCATTGCTGTAAAGTAATGTCAAGACCTCGAAAGGATCTATTGACATTTAAAGGGCCTGTTGCGTAGTACGTTGTCGGAATCTCCTCAACAAGTTAGCGGCGGTCTCATACAAGGCACACTGATGGACCAGCTCCATTACTAACTCGCTGTCTCCCTTGTAGTCCCCCGATCACTTCAAAAGTGGCCTACGTAATAACGTGCACGCGGGGTCGTCATTTGTTTGCATGTCTTCGACCTTGCCGCCACGCAACCTTTTTTGACGGATCACTCTTCAATCTGCAGTGCTGGGTGGGGGAGTATAAACAGTACACGAACTGGCGTTAGCCAGCTTTTCTCGAACGACGGCTCTGGAGCCGCCACCATGCCCCCCTCCCGACAGGGGGGGGGACGCGGCTTTGCCAAGGGGCCAGCCGGACGACTTGGGAAACTCTAGCCCGGCCCTCGACTTACCGGAGGACGCGGGGCCTCCGGAGAAGGCTCCTTCTCTCTCCGCTGGTAGCCCCTCATCCTCTGCAAACGGGGCAAGGGCTCAAGCACACGCCGCATCTGCTGCTCACGGGACAGGGGCTCCAGTACACGCCGCATCTTCTGCTCACGGGACAGGGGTTCCAGGGCACGCCGTATCTTCTCCTCTCGCGGACTCTCAGATGCCGACCCCCTCAGTGGCTAGGGAGTCAGGCTTGGCAGGGGATGCTTCCTTCACCATGGCAGACCAGCCGCTGCGTAGCGGCAAGACAGATGCAGTAACGCCGCGGCAAGACGGACCCACCGGGCGCGCTTCGGGGGAGGGTTCCGAGTCCTCCTCGTCGCCTTCGCAGGCTTTCACGCCCCCAGTTCATCCGCGCGACATGTTTGAGGCCCTTACCGCGGCGATGAAGGCTTCTTCGGGGCCCCCGTACCTAGATGTCTGGCGCCAGACCATCCAGGAGTTATTTGCGCTGGAATTTGTCCGCCTTCCAGTCAGCTTCGACGCGTTGCCGGCCGAACGCAAACGGTATCCCAAGCTCACAAGTACCGAGCTGGTGAGTTTGCTGGATTTGTTTAAGCAATGTTTTGTTGTGACATCCGGCCGCTACGTCGACTGGACCCGTTTAGCCCACCAGATCAGTAAGGAGATCCTCGTCACGAAGTGGGCGTTCAAAGAAATCTTGCGCAAGCTGGCCAGCCGACAGAAATGGGCTGTGGCTCCAATCCCGCGGCTGTGGTCTCAAGTCGTGCAGACAGGCAGTGCTGCTGCACCTGCCAGTACGACAGGCCAGCAGCGTCCCGTGTTCGATGACTTTATGTTTGATCCGGCACATTTTTCGGAGGAAGAGACGACCACGCTCCGAGCCATTTGCGCAACGCGCCTTAACTTGACAGGTACTCACCGTCTGCGCGAGGGTACAGATGATGAATGGCGCATCATCATTGGGATTGCGGAAGGGCTTATTGCCTGTCGTCGGCTGCCTGATTTTCTCAATTCTGTCTTCGACAGCGACGAGCGGCTTCGGTTGTGTCGGACTGTTCAGGCGCAGGTCGAGGGACAGTTAGTCTTACAACTTAGACATGGTCGTGATATCCCAATTGGACGCCGGACGACCCACGCTATTACGGAGAAGATTTTGGAATCGGCGGAAATCTTGCGGGTCTGCTTGCCGGATCTTCACCGTTTCCTCGGGTTGGCCAAGACGATAAGCTACAATCGTTCTACCCGTTCAATCCACTTCTATTTCTTTACGCGAGCCATTGCTAAGGCGCACCAGGATGTCGTAGTGCCTTTTCAGGGGAGGGCGTACACGCTCGAGAATGTTCATCACCCGGTCAGGGGCTCGGTCTGGTTGAATCAGCGGGGACCAGACGGGCGGTCGAGCCACCCTCGGGCAGCGTACACCATTTTGCTGTATAATCTCACCCGGTTTGATGATATTGGGCGCATTGCTGCCTACCTCCGCTCCAAGATACCAACGGATTTTGAGCTGGAGGATATGGATACCTGCACCCCGAACTCACGTACGTCCACTGCCTGGAAAGTCACCTTTCATCTGGCGGGTTGCCCGACCTTTCTCCAAGGAGTAGTCAGACTGCTTTGGTTTGGGACCCCCATTATCGTCCGGCATCCGGACGTGGGCCGTCGCCTCCAATGTTTGCAATGTGGTACGCTAGGCCACCCGGCGTCGAGGTGTCAGTTTACTGATGCGCAGTTGCGGGGGCCGGGCGGGCTGGAGGTCCACGAAGCCGAGCTTTTAGCTGTTGAAGATCTGGCCAAACCGTTTAGTAGCCCTGATGAAATGCGGCAAATGGCGCAGCGACGACTGGTTGTGCAGCAATCAGCCGATGCAGCGGCTCAAGCTGCGGTGACTCCGGCGGTACTGGTCGCCACTTCCAGTCCACCGCCGGCCGCCGAGCCCCAGCCAACAGGTATACCTATCCAATCGGTGTATACTACTCATGTCGCGCACGCGGGCCCGCCTCCTCCGGCCCCCAAAACCCCGGCCCGAACAGCCATGGATGAGACGCCCCCTTCGAGGGGGTCGTCGGCCTTGGCCCCCAGTTCAGCCTTCCCCGCCTCAGCTGAACGTCAGCAGCGGGAGTTATCACGTTCTCCAGGAGGATGATAGGGCAGAGGAGGGTCCGTCTTCCCCATTTGAAGGCAGTGTCGCCTCTGCACCTCCGCAGCCGGGGACTGGAGGCTCCTCGACTCCTGCTTTTTCGGCACGGCTGTCCCACTCTCGGCTTCTGCCGGAGGATCAGGCCCGGAAACAAGCAGCCGGTATTCGGGGCCCGGCGGTAGTTATCGCGGGTCCGGCTCTCCTGACCCAGCAGCGACGGGAACGTCTGACTTGCGAAAAGCTTTTAAAGCTGCTGCCGGATCGGCAATGTCACTCGATACCCATGGATCCTAAGCCGTTAGCGGAACCCATCCACATGGGCGAGCTTGTGAGTATTCTGGGACTTCGGGAAATAAACACTCCAGCGAACGGCAATTGTTTGGCGATAGCTCTTGCTCAAGCGGTGGCTGAGTCTGCCTTGACCGCCCCTACCAAGGACCAGGAGCTTCTCACGGCTTGCATTAAACGAGGTATCACGTGTACAGGACTCTTGAACTTGGAAGATCAGGTCCCTCACGACTTGCGGGTGCAGGCACTTAAGAACGTGGGCCGTGGGTGGGCGTCGATGACGCGCACAGAGTCGGCTTCTCAATTCCGCTGGTTTTTGACGGACTTCGCGGCCACCCCATCGGGGCGAACTTCGCATGTGCCTACGGACTGTTGGGGGGCAGTGACACACTCGGCATGGCAGCCACGTTTTTACAGAGAGACATCTTTGTCGTTCAACGCGAAGAAGCCACCCCTCAGTGGCGTTGCCGCAAGTATCACCCCGTTTCGATGACTGTACGGGGACGGGCGGTGGCTTCTGTAAAAGAGTACCCCCTTTCTATTATGGCGTGTATCGACGAGCTGCAGGCTACCAAAGTCGGGGCGAGTCAGGCTCTACCGTTAGTGTTGCGGTTTGGCGGCAGCCACTACTCGGCATTTCTCCATTCAGCGGGAGTGGCCGATCCGTTAAACCTTACCGATACCCAGGACGGGCCGAGTGCGTCGACTCAGGATCCGGTCCACTCCTTCGGGGACACTAGAGCCACAGCGTTGGTACCATTGGAGGAGAAAAGCGCTTCAGCACTGCCCTCAGACGACAAACTCCTTCCTGACAGCGGTGACCGGACGTCGATCGTCCTTTACGACGCTGGAGACGCGGTCGCTCGAACCTCGGCACAACCCTCTGGTCAATTGGCTTTAACTTCTACTTCGAGCAGCTGTCGCGAACGCGGGATGGCCTCTGCGGCGCGGAAACGGGGCCACGGCGGCTCTCCCCCGCTCCTGGCGGCGTCTGCGGATCCAGGTGCTGTCGTTCCGATCGGCTCTCGCCACAAGAAAGGTCGGGTTCGTTCAGCCCTTCGGAAATCTTCACTAGACGCGCCGGACGACAGAATCGATCGGGACGAATGGCCAGAGCTCTGGAGTTATCTGGGAGCCGAATGGCCGCCGTCAGCAGCAACTCCGTATCCTCTAGTATATGGAGACTCCAACGGGTGGGAGGCTACGGCTCGTTTGGAGCCGGAATTGTTACTACATCACTTGCGCCGCTTCGTCTTTCCAGACGAAGTACTTGCTAGCTTGTCCGACACAGTTTTTGTACAGTGGACGGCGCTGTGGCGCCAGGAGTGCTTATTATCCGGGCTCCTAGAATTCCGACAGCGAGTGACAGAGCTACCCACGGGTGTTTGGCTCGACCAATGGATTGCTCGATCGCAGCAGCGCCTTTCGCCGTCTCTGCTGGCCCCTCTGATTGACAATTCCGACGATTGGAGAAAGTTGCGAGGGATTAACTATGCGGGGGACGACATTTTACGATTGTGTGACCCGCACAGACGCGTCCGAATGAGTCACCACCTCATGTGTGCCATCGTGTTCGACAACGAGATTTTTGCTCTGACGGGGACTGGCGGAAAGCCAGTACGCCCTCCCGAGCAACTCCGTTGCCACTTTCGCTTACTTCGGACCAATAGTACCTACAAGGATACGTACTACCCAGACGGGGATGCTCCGATCGACTGGACTGCGCTCGTTCGCTATTTTACTACTGCTTTGGCCCCGGCAGAGCAGAGGTTCCTCCTCGAGTACTAAGGGCAGCTTACAGCAGAATTTCGTCTTCAGCCCCGAAGTTCCTTTCTTTGAGGAAGCTGACGCCTACAGCCGGCATCGCAAACTTCACGACTGGTCTCCGTCCTGGACTTCAGCAGTTGATCCACTGGATTCTCGGGGTGGGGACAGGCTCTTTATTTCTCAAAACGTGAGGGGCTTCAAGGCTAGCGCTCGGGAAGGGTGGTTGTCGGCGTGGCGTAGTGCGCCTCAGATCCGTCGCCCGCAGGCTTGGTGTATTCAGGAGACGCATGTACATACTGACGAAGAGGCGGGTAGGCTGAGTTCCAGGTGGGCTCAGTTATGGGGTCAACACTTGGATCCTGACGCTCCTCCTCTATCGTTCTGGAGTATTGGCTCTTCTAGCCGTGCTGGTGTTGCCATTCTTCTTACCCCTCATTCTGCTCGTACAGCTTCGGCCTGGGAACCGGAACGCTGGTCACCCCGGGCGATCGCAATTTCCATTGGGGAGGATGTTCTGATCAATGTGTACGCACCTACACTGCGAGGTGAACGGGAAGACTTCTTTACTTCCCTTCTCAGCTGGAATTTGATGGCCTCCAACACTATTATGGCGGGCGACTTTAACTGCGTCCAGTGCCCTCTCCTCGATCGGTACGGCAGTTACCGATCGCACCGATCGGAAAGCCCTGCCCTGGACGCGGCAGTTGCGACACTGGGCTTGGCGGATGCGAGAGATCTTCGGGATCATGCGGATGACGAGGGCACTGGCGATCCTACTGATCATTTCACTTACTGGAATGGGGACCGTGCCAGTCGCATCGATCGTTTCTATGTGCCTGAGGGGTGGGTAGGTCGCGTGCTGTGGATTGAAGCGCGGGTGCCATCCAATCAGTCGGACCATCAGGAGGTTGTGCTACACCTACGTGACCTGAACAAACCTCGTTCGTCATGCCGGCATGGGCGTGTAACATATCCGATTCATTCATCGAACCCTGGCAGGATCGTTGACGAACTCGTCGCGGAAATGGACGGAAGGGCTATAGGTCAGAGCGTTTCTACCCTCACTTGGGACGCGGATGTCACAGAGTGTCAACAGTGCGTTCGACGCATCCGGAAGCGGGTCAAACAGCGCAGAGCGCGATTTCGTCGGAAGATTCAGGGCAGAGCTCGGCGACCTCTCCTGACCCGGCCGCAATTTATCTCCTGCAATATGGAGGAATTACGGCAGGAACATCTGGTGCGACTGGGCCAGAAGCTCGCCAGGACGGCTGACCAGTTGCGCTATTTTTACAAGCGGGTTGCCGACTGGGAACGCAATCAAACAGTCACAACAATTTCGCGCATCCACGGCCCGCATTTTACCCGGGATATGACTAATGCGGATAAATTTGCCTCCGAATGGTCTACAGTCCTTGGCAAAGTTCATTGCCAGGAGGAGAGAGTGGACTTGCCGTCAGCCATTCGCCGTTTTGTCAATCTACCCACAGACCGAGTCTTGTCTTCTGCCGACAACCGGGCTCTCTTGGCTGATTTTTCGGAAGCGGAAGTCCTTGCAGCCTTTACTGGGCTCAGTCGACATAAGTCGGCGGGACTGGACGGGCTCAACAACGATTTTTACAAGGATACGTCTGCACTTCTTGTCCCCGCCCTGGTCCAGCTCAGCAATCAAATTTTGGCTGGAGCTGATCCCCCGCCTTCATTTCTCGAAGCTTTGATCATACCCTTGCGAAAAAAGGGAGACTCGGCGGATGCGATGGATTACAGACCGATTTCTCTACTCCAAACCAGCTACAAGATCTTTGCGAAAGTGCTGGCAACACGACTGCAACGCGTATTACCAAAAGTCATTGGTGACTCGCAGCAAGGCTTCGTACACGGACGCCAGATGTCTAAACTAGTGTTGATGATGCTCGCTCAACTGGCGACAGCAACATCGGATACAACTACATCCGCCGACGACAGCCGAGTGATCCTCCTACTGGATTTCCGCAAGGCTTATGACACGGTCGATCGCGAATTCCTGTATGAGGCTCTTCGCCAATTTGGTTTCGCGGAAAGGTATGTTCAGCTTATAACTCGTCTACATACTGGTACTTCGGCCGCGTTCCTTGTAAATGGGGAACAGTCTCGTCCCATCTCCGTCGTTTCCGGTATCCGGCAAGGCTGTCCACTCGCCCCTTTGCTTTTTCTCGTCGTGGTGGAGATATTGGGCGTTGCGGTACAGCAATCACCAGATTTGTCTGGGCTTCCTGTCCCTGGACGACATCCGGCAACGCACGTTTTCTCGGCATTTGTGGATGACTCGACGATCTTTCTCGAGAAGGCCAGTCAGCTAGAGCCAGCGATAGCTCTTCTCTCTCAATTTGGGACCCTATCAGGGCTAGTTGCCCAACCCTCCAAGAGTCAGATCATTTGTCTTAATCGGGCTGTGCACGTAGCCGATATGCGGGGCATTCCGGTCCTTCAACATGCGGACACGGTGCGATACCTGGGCTATCAAGTAGGACTGAGACCCTTACACAATTGCAACTGGGCGCTTCGTATCCGGAAGCTTCAACGGAGGCTAATGACAGCTTCCAGGGTGGCGACCAGTGTGGCGAATCGGGTGTTGATCCTCAACTCCATCATTCTCCCGTCTGTTCTGTTCACGGCGGCGGTGTTCGATATGCCTGAGTGGGCACGACTTGCTGTCCACAACCTGTACAAACAATTTTTATGGGCTCATGCGACTTCAACGGAAGCCAGCCGACACAAGATTAACCCGGGACTACTTTTCACCCCCAAAAAGGCAGGGGGATTGGGTTGGCCTCTTTGGAGGTGGCTATTAAAACGCAGCGTACCAAGCACGCTTTACAGTGGCTCACACAAGCTCAGGACAAGTATTTTGGAGCCTGGAGTGCGTGGGCTTATCAAGGCCGGCCGACAAATTCGAGTCTGGTTCTCCATTGCAGGACGCAGGCAGCTGGGGCTGCATCGTGTGTCGGGGCACCGTCCCCAAATTCATGGGTACCGGACGTTGACAAGCTTCTACACCCTACGGTAGAGCAAGCCACCATTCTCAGCGAGCGGGTACGAACGTACTACCACCCCATCCTCCACGGCGCCAGTAGCTGGTGGGAGGAGGAGGAATGGGTGCTGTCGTATCATCACCCTTTCCCGGCTGGGTTACCTGCGCTCGATCCTCAACAGTGTGCGATTCATCGCTTTTGGGGGACACTAGGCTGGAGTAATAACCCGTGGATCCAGGACGGCAATGGCCTCTCGTTAAAATCCGCTACCTATGACAGGATCGCCATCTGCCCCATCTCGGACCTGCACATTCGGCGAACAGGGCCAACTGAATTTATTTTTCGCATTAAGCCGGTTGGACCCCGATCTTTTCACCACTCGCAGCCTAAACTCCGTCGGTGGGCGACGGCAATCTTGCTGGCATCCCCTACGTTCCCCATTGGGGGCGAATTAGCGCTCGAACCTGAGCTGGTTCTTCGCCATGCACCACCTTTTCGACATGAATGGACCTGGGCCTCGGTCCAACAAGGTCGAGTGGTCGGGAGGCGAGAGGGGTACTTGGAAGTCGCTGACCAGCCTGTTGAACTGCAGCAGAGTGCGGATGGAATTCGCTGGTTTTTCACCACTCACCTACCAGAGTTATCTACTAATTCGGACGAGGACAGATCCGTTTGGGCCCTACGCTTGCGTCGTCACGGCGTCGTGTTTTACTCCCATCCCGGGCATCATGGCTTTCCTTGGGCCGTCGCCGAGTCGGTCGCGAACTTAGCTATACGAAAAGCTATTTCACGCCTGGCGTTCACGTTTCACAAAAGACTTCTTGCAGTCGCATTGCGACCGCTGGTGCGGCGTCTGGAGGCCGTCTGTGACTTCGATCAGTGGCAGCGGGCTGCCGCAAACCAAGACCCGGCACACGTTTGGAAGCATGACAATGGCCTTTCCGACCATCAGGTCTGGACGTGTTACCGTATAGCCACCAAGCAACTCAACTTGTACCATGCCGGCCGTCCGGCGGACAATAGTTGCCGGGCGTTATTGGCGTGTCACGGTTGCAAAGAAACGCCGGCTCACATCTTTTGGGACTGCCCCAAGGCGCGCGCGTGCTGGGGTCAACTCATTACCCATTGGACAGGTGAACGGGCTGGGAGGCCGTGGGAAGAGCGTTGGTTCGTCGGGAGTGTGAATCGTCACGCGCCGGAGATACCGTCCAAGCAGCGTCTTCGGATTTACCATATGCTCCCGGAGGACTTAGAGGCTGGTGTCGCGGTTTGGAAGCGTCTCTGGTTTATTATGAGCAGCATTTGTCTGACTCACTTATGGAATGAGCGGAACGACGCGGTTTTTCGAGGAGTGCAGTCGACGCCTCTCCACAGCGCCGCGCGTTTTTGGGCGCTGGGAATTCGACATCTTACCGCGTTAGCAAAACGCGAACATCGCGGTCCCGCCACAGCTGTCACCGGGGCTATCATGCATACCTGTATCGACCTCTTTATTCTCGAACCTCGGGATAAGCCGATACCTTTAGGTGACAGCCACGACAAGCTACCAGTTCCGGAGCTATTGTCCTGGCTTAGAAGTTTTCAGACATCTTTAGCATAATCATATGTTAATAGACGGACATGACAACAACAACCTTTTTTGACGGATGCCACGTCGCCGCCACACGACGATACCATGACCAGCGAATTAGCTCGTGGCCACCGAGACGGGGCCCAGATCGTCGAGGATCGCCGTCGTCTCGATCATTTTTTCAGGCTCAGGAACAGCAGCGTAATCGTCATTGAGACAGCGCGACCGACCTTACTACGACAAATCTACCCATCAAGAAGATGCTCATAGTCCTATCGAAAACTTTCAAGACCTGATCTCCATCGCGACAAACTAGTTCCTACCCAGACGCTGTTGTAGCTCGTGAACCAGGACGATGGCCGAAAGCAGTACGTAGAACAGGAAGCGCTGGAAAATCCACGCTCGTTCGCTCGGTGTAGCGTGCTTGACCGAGATTTCAACGTCTACTCGATCTGCTGCACATTGGAGACAACATCCATCCGCCTGATCTTATTGCACGGCCGGTGCTACGTGCAAGGCTTTCGACGACTATAACTCTAGCAGTGAACCACGACCAAGGACTTCCTGCTACAAAATAGCACGAGGTGAAGTAGAAGGGCACGTTTCCCGTATTACACAACGTCTACCTACTTGACCGCCACGTGGTCCTTTGGCAAGCAGTTGGCGACGGGTTCATGCTGGCATCCAACAACACCACAACAAGTTCCAGCGGCAGAATAGCGACCCACGACTGTATCGTTGGCGACATCTATGGTGGCGATCGTACAACATGTCTGTCATGTCCCTGCTGGCGTAGAGCACAAGGTGGTCCTGTTTTCCACGGACGGGACCATCCAGCAGACCAGACGTACAACCGATGACGCCGATGACTCAGTGACGAAGGCTACGGCCGCGTCTGCCCTGACACCCGAAGTGTCGGTCAATTGCTATCCTCGACCACTTTGAAGAAAAATGCCCACTACTTCTCGGCCGGTCGCAACTGCCAAGTGCACGACGACGTTAGCTAGCATTACAGCACGTGACATCCTTCGAAACGGAGCCGTGACTCCTTTCAACGCTCGTTTTCCGCACGATCGAGTCGCACAGTCTTGCTCCATGTCATTCTCGTCGAACTCTTTGTTCATCGTGAGCATGCCCAGCACGCACGTCCTGAAGGGATAAAGAAGAAGGATCCGCTTTACAACGTGTCGATGCACGTTCAAAAAGCATGCGTGAGTGCCTCCATGCGCCTCGTCTCGCCCCTCCGCACCACTTCCGTACCCGTTGCGTTCAGAGCGGCGCATGGATTTTCAACCGCCTCGCTTCTACGACTTCAAGCGCGAGGGCACGACCCATGGCGAGGTTGTGAACCCCCACCTTCTCCCTCGGAACGAGGCCGCCACAACCGGCTTTTACATGTCCCGAAAGTTAGAGAGATGCTCCAAAGTTCTCAACGATGTGCGTCGTCTACTTCTACCACTACTGCTGCTGCTGGTGGTGGTGCTGCTGCTGCCTCTTTCCCCTTCCTCTCTCTCTCTCGTTCAGCCGCGAGTGAGAAACCCAAACGCCCTTCGGAGGTTGAAATTTCTACCGACCACTACCGCACGCCAGCCCATCGACTGTCGTCGCGACGTCTGCCGGGTGGTTCAACCAACCGCCCACCTCTAACTCCCACTCGGTCGTGTCTACCGCCCATCTGTCGGGCACTGCTGTCGTCTCTCGCACACATGCGGTCCAGCGCATGTCGCTTCCCTAATTTTACCCAAAGCCCGTCGTGACGACGAGTTCCAGGCTGGCTCCTCGCGCCTCGAAAGGCCGTAGCTCGCAACCGAGAACCGAGCTCGGCCCCGCGACTCCGTAACCACTTCATTCCTCGATTTACCTTGTCCAGCACAGGGAACAACCTCCCTACTTCGCACCCTCCCCCGGTCCTCTTCTCCTTCGCCTCCTCGTCCTTCACCCGACCTTCCCACCTGTACCCCGCAATGGTGTGTACTTCTTACATGACCGTGTACGCCATGCTGGCCGCCATTTCGGTCGGCTCCGCCTCGGCTGGACACAGTGTGTGCTACGCGACGTGGCACAATCCGGCCGTGACGAAGGAGGTCCTGCTGAAAGACGTCCTGGAGATCGGTACCTACTTTTCGAGCTTCCGGACGTTCGAAACCCGCATGGCCGGCTACAACATCATTCAAATCGCCGGTGAGGCCGGCGTGAAAGTCGCCGCGGGCGTGCAGATGAACGACGAGCATGCCGTGGACGCCGAGATCGAAGCCGTGTGCACCGGTTACAGCACCAACCCAGAAGCGCTTGAAGCCGTCTACGTTGGCAACGAGAACCTGCGCAACAAGGACTTTGGCACGGTTAGTGCCCAGGTGCTGATCGGGTACATCCAACGGGTCAAGGAGTGCACGCACGGGGCTGTGCCGGTTGGCACCGTCCAGCGCGCCAACGAGTGGGTCGGTGCCGAGGATGCGATACTGGTCGCCAATGCGTCCGACGTGATCGGGATCAACATCTACCCCTTCTTTACCCCGGGGGACTCGTCTCCCATCGAGAAGCTCCAGGCTCAATGGGACCAGATGACGAGCAAGTACGGCGCTGCCAAGTGTCGGTTGACTGAGACTGGGTGGCCGACCAAGGGCGAAGACAATGCGGGGAACCATGCGTCCCTCGAGACGGCGCAGCTCTACTTTGACAGCTTCTTGACGTGGGCACAGGACAAGGCGTCGTCGTACTGGTTCATGATGTACGACACGACGAAGAGCTACACGGGCATGGAGTACGAGATGAACTTCGGTCTCTTCACTGCTACGGGCGCGAAGAAGATCAACATCCCTGGCTTCACGGGCTCCAAGACGGGCTCCCCTGTCAATGACACGGGAATGGCCCCCGGGACCAATAGTCCTGGCAACGATCCTCTCCAAAACCCCGTGCAGGGAACTCCCATGGAGGGCACGCCTGGCGCCCCGGCTACACCGAGTCCCGAGCCCGTTATCACCCTGATTGAGCCTCAGTACTTTAGTGCCGACGGCAAGCCGCTGACTGGCGATGCCAATCGGCACTATGATGGGGTGAATCCTCCTGCGGACGGATCTACCGATCACCCGTCTGTGGTAGAGTCTGGCAACGATCCTCTCCAAAGCCCCGTGCAGGGAACTCCCATGGAGGGCACGCCTGGCGCCCCGCCTACATCGAGTCCCGAGCCCGTTATCACCCTGATTGAGCCTCAGTACTTTGGTGCAGACGGCAAGCCGCTGACTGGCGATGCCAATCGGCACTATGATGGGGTGAATCCTCCTGCGGACGGATCTACCGATCACCCGTCTGTGGTAGAGTCTGGCAACGATCCTCTCCAAAGCCCCGTGCAGGGAACTCCCATGGAGGGCACGCCTGGCGCCCCGCCTACATCGAGTCCCGAGCCCGTTACCACCCTGATTGAGCCTCAGTACTTTGGTGCAGACGGCAAGCCGCTGAATGGCGGTGCCAATCAGGGCGTCCCGGTGCCAGTGACGACTCCTGGTACCCCAGCTGCGGAGAAGTCGGGCATCCCCGAAGGCTCGCTTCAAAACGGCGCCGGCGTGCCTGGTTACTTTAACGAGGAGCCCAAGCCGGTGGATGGCAGTGTCAAGAAGGGCATCACGGTGGAAAAGAACGAGCCAGTGGTGACCCCTGGTACGCCGGTTGTGGTGGACTCTGGCAAAGACTGTGCCATGTAACTCTCCTCGTGACGCGCTGACCATTGCTGGAGGGTGTAGACGGCTCGATTGCGTGAGTGGAGACATTGTGCAGCTACTGCGCGGCGCAGGAGCTTTGTAGCGGACGTGCATACATAACCCGAATAAAAACACTCTTGTCTGTGTCGTTGAAGCAGTTGACGTGCTTCATCCGTGGCTCTACGATGCCGAAACAACGAGAAAGTAGATAACTTGTCGACTACGACGGGACCCCTCGTCTATTCAGCCTGCAATGACTTTGAAGCAATGCCGCATGTATACGGTCCGTAGTTGATGACAGCCTGATTGCTACCTGAGGGTGTTTAGCCATGACGAAATACCGTTCACTTTGCTGCTACATTTTCCGTCATCCCGAAAGCTAAAACCGCACTCTGGCTGCTGCTCGAAAGTTGAGTCAATTTAAACAGAAAAGCATTCACAAGTCCCAATATGTCTTCGCAGTGTTCAGAGTTACAGCAGTCGTAGCTGCTGTTCAGTCGATGTCAATGCTCTACCGTCGGAAGCACGACGACGCTCCGTGACACCACCGCACGATTGACTTTACTGTCGTCCTAGAAGGTGCGATTCAGATCAGGCAGTTGTACCCCTGTGAGAGCCCGCACCCATTAGGCCGAAGGAAGTACAGCAGACTTCCTGGTACACGCGCCCATGCTGTTTAACTCGGAGCCGATGTCGTCAGCAGCGAAAGTCTCAAGCGCAACTGTCTTGTAAAACTGTAACAGGTCGGCACACGACCAGACAAGACACTCACTCGAGCTCTTCTTTCACTCGGTCCAGACTTTTACGTTGCTCAATGACCGTGCTTTGGTCGGGTCGACGTTGCGTCCTTCCAGCGTCCGGTCGATAACGAACAGCGACACTAAACGCACCTTCGTACACGAGCCAGGAAAAATGACCTCGATGACCAAAAGGTCGCAGGGACGTGCAAAAGAGCCACGAAAGCATTCGTAGTGTGGTGATGGCGAGCAGCGAAGATCGCCAGAACACAGGAAGACAGGCAACTGCTTTACAGTGTAAAGGCGTGTAACGATACACCCCGTTGCGTGACTATCAGAGAACTCCGTGGTTCCTAAAACCTCCACGCACTACATCTCCGCCCTCGCTAACCACCTAGCAAAGAGACTGTCAATCAAGTAAACTACTGACAGCTCACGTCTTGCAACCGCTACAGACCCGCCGCCGCCACCACCACTATTTCGTGACGTCGCTCGCTTCTGGTCACAAAGTGGTACCTTGCAATGCAGGTGGCGAGTGAGGCTGACGTCCTCAGTACGAACCCGTTTGCCTTTCGAGGTTTTGTCTCGCCTCCTCCCTATTCGACGGTTCAGCTCGCCACCGGACAGATGCATCCAGATGCTCGTATCTGTGGGGACCCATCCAGGAGGTGGTGCTTAGCTGCATCGATAGCAAACAGTCAACTAGGAGGGAGCTCCACTCATTCCACGGGGCAGCCGATTTTTGGGATAGGAAGGAGGGAGTCGACCAGTAGGCCTTTAAATCAGAAAAGCGCTCGACCTGATGCCGCGAGCAGATCGCCATCGGTTGAGCTACTGCGTCTGCGTTCTGATCGCGAACTCAACGGACCGACGGGATTCGTGGTAGAGACGAGGCTCTCGACTCCGTCTTCGATCCATCCGGCGCACGACACATGTGTGTAGTCGCTCACGATCGGCTCGTAAGTTCCAATTTCCCATACAAAATCGGCCCAGCCCAAGAATCCGGAATCGGCTGTCGTTCTCTGGCTCTGTCGCGGCTGAAAGTCCGATCGTTGAGGCTGTAAACCAGGTCAAAGGAGAGAGCGGAAGGGATGACCCTCATCCTCATCCTCATTGTTATTTTTATTGACCCGAAGCAGGACCTCGTCAGTACTTGGTCGATATCCCGAATGGTCTGGTCATCCCCAGCTCTCCGACTCGGCGCTTTCTTGGCCGCAGCCACTTTCCATGCGGTTCTTTCGGACGTCCTTTCCACAGGCATCTGCTACGCCCCGTGGCATCACGCGTCCGTCACCCACGACGTGGTCGTCAAGGACTTCCGTCAAGCCGGTCAGTTCTTCGCCAGCGTCCGGACTTTCCAGGCGCTTTTCGGCGGCGTCAATGTGATTGAAGCCGCTGCAGCCGCTGGGATTAAAGTGGCGGTTGGGGTCCAGATGACGGAATCGGCTCTCATTGACGCCGAGATTGACGCGGTGTGCAAGGGGTTTCAAGCCAGTCCGGACGCTCTGGAAGCCGTGTACGTGGGCAATGAGAACCTCAAGAACAAGGACTTTGGCGAGTTCTCGGCTGGCCAGTTAGTCGGCTACATCAAGCGGGTCAAGGAGTGTGTTGGGAACGTCCCGGTTGGCTCAGTCCAGCGCATCAATGAATGGCTCTCGTCGGACGGAGCTCCTGAACTTTCGAAAGCGTGCGACGTCATTGGGACCAACATCTACCCGTTCTTCACGAACGGTCCACAGAGCGCAGTGGAGAAGCTGCAGCTCCAGTGGAAGCAGATGGCTGATAAGTACGATGCACAGAAGCTGCACGTGACCGAGACGGGGTGGCCTTCAGAAGGGGAGAAGTACGGCGAGAACATGCCGTCAGCTGATGGGATGCAGACGTTCTTTGACGACTACGTCAAGTGGGCCAAGACCGTGCCGCAGAGCTACTGGTTCATGATGTACGACACGACGGTGAGCTACACGGGCGCTGAGTATGAAAAGCACTTTGGCTCGTTCACTTCGGACGGAAAACCAAAGCTGAAGATCCCAGGGGGCAATGGCTCGGTAGTGCAGCAGGAGCAGGTGAACTCGACGGACTGGTCCGAGCACTCGCAGGCGATGGACCCGTCCCAAGAATCGCCATCGGCGGACGTCAAGCAGGAATCGGAGACCACCGAGGCACCTCAATTACCGCCAGCAACGGAGCCACTTCCTGAAGAGCCAACGCCGGAGACCTCTCAGCCACCTCAACCTTCTGGGTCGGCTCAACCACCTCCACCAGCGACAGAACCGGTTCAACCACCTTCGCCAGCGACAGAACCAGTTCAACCACCTCCTGCGGAGGCAGCTCAACCACCACTAGTTGAGGCACCCCAGCCACCACCGGTTGAGGCATCCCTGCCACCTTTAGCGGCAAAACCAGTCCAGCCTTCTCCACCTGCATCCACTGACTCCGTTCCGCTGCCTCCGCCGGTCACTTCGTTCGAGTCATTGGATACGCCGAGTTCACCTGATCAACCAGAGCAATCGACCGTGCATCCTGTGGACTTGGAATCCACTGCGGCGGCCAAGTGCAAGGTCAAGAGTCTGCGTGTGTGAGAACGCGCTGTTTGTCAATGGTCATGCCACGCAGGAAGCCATTGAAATCCTCTTCATCTCCTCTTCGGTCGGACCAGGTGTGTAGTTATCAAAGCGGTTCGAACGGACTCGTGTGCCAAGTCATAGCCTGCGTGAATTAATCAATCATCCGATTATCACATAAATGCTTTGCACCTTGTTACAGCATCGTTGATGTGCTACTACTGCAACTCCCTTCGTGAAGGACACCGTCAGTCCCTAACAATGCATAATGTGACGACGCATGTTGATCCAGTAGTGCCCCTTGTTCCAGTTGCCGTCGCCGTTCACGCGATGCATACACATTACGTCGACGTTCCGCGGCTGCATGACTCAAACCAGAAGGAGTTGCATCGCTACAAGAGTGCAAGACGTCAAACGAGTGTGTAGCAGCAGCCACTCGCTTGGTCAAAGTTGTCGAGAAGCTGGTCTTGCGCTTCGCGAGTTCAATCGGAACCACTTGAAACACTTCCGCGAGTGCATTGATCTGAGGCATCGTGTGCTCCCCCATGCGGTCAACCGAGCACGGGGTGGCAACGAGGTCCGCAAACATGTACAGCCAGTCTGCAATGCGTTTGGTGACTAGAATCTGCCCACCGTCGCCTAGATCCCCGATTTCATTAGCAATCACAACAGAGGCGCCCGTGTACGTCATCTTGCCAGTCACAGCATGCACGTCTAGTACCAAAGGTCCGTCTGCATCCACGGCATCGTGAATGCCCATGCGGACTCGCAGACCGCAGAAGAGCAGGTGATGACCGGATCGCAGCTTTTTCGTTGCAGCCAACAGGCCATGCAACTCCTTTGGCCAAGCTGCTTCCAGTAGCTGTATCTGCACATCTAAACAGTACTCAACAGCTTCACGGACAGTGTGGAATGCCAGTTGAAAGGCATCCCCTGCCGTCGTGATCTCGTAGCCACGGTACTTCATCAATAGCGACCTAAGCATATTGTCGTGGATCTCCGTCGCCCGCTGCATGATGAGACCGTCGTCTATGCCCCACAACGCACTCGATTGCTGAATGTCCGTGAACACGAACACGGGGTTCACAAGAGGCGGCTCGATCGACTCCACTAGCACGAGCGTATCTTGCGGTGAAAGAAGCTCTCCAGGATGCATCAGTCTAGCTTCAACCTGTGCTTCAACGTCATCAGGTAGACAGCAACGGCAAGAGTTTAGCAGACAAGCTTGGCTGCACATGGTCGTGATTGCAAGGGCTGAGCCCGAGATGCAGTAAACGAGAGCACTGACGCTCATGAAGTCCATGAGTTTGAACTTCTGGTCCGGCATGGCGTACAGCACGACTGATGCGGCTTGGAATTGCAGCGTGAAGATCGCGTAGATGGTCCTGCATAGAAGATGTATAAACATACTTGACATCAGTACCATGGACAACTACTTCAACTATAACATCAACAACCAAGGCAATGCCGTACATAATCCGCATGAGACGTTGATAGATCGGCGACGTGACGAATTGGCCCTGGACGTTTTCGTACTTCCTGCCTCTCCAGTTGAGCCTTGCAATGCACAGCACCATGTACAGGAAGCTCAAGAACTGCGTCACGTACACAGCGAGCAGACAGCGTTGCGTGGCAGTGGTATACCCGCCCTTCACGGCTGCTAGTACAGTCTCCGCTATTACAAAGACAGCAATAATGGGCCAGACTCGCCACATGTACCATCGGATCTGCTCTCGTTCTTTCTGAGCTCCTCGGTCCATTGACTTGGCTGCAATGAGCTCGAGTTCGTGCACGAGCGGAAACGTCCACACGGTCACTGCAAAAAGCGCCGAGTCCCCCAGGACCAGCAGAGACGTGACGACAGCGTTATGTGAGACTTTAAAGTGCAGAACGGAGAACACGCCGAGCTTGCTGTATCGGTTTGTGAGTGATTGCATCGCCGCGTTCGTCGTGGACTCCCATGGACGGCTAACACTTACGATCATGTAGACGACGCGACTGAAGGTGAAGACAAAGTAGCAAGCAAAGAAGACGGAAAAGAGCCATCGGACGCTCGAGACGTGCACGTCCCATGACCGACGGAGACTGAAGGTCGTCAATCCTGTCGCAATGCAAGATAATCCCATCGTGACGATCGCCACAGGTGTCCACATGCGAAGAGAGAGAGAGAGCGGTTGTTTTACCTGCTAAGGACCAGAGCCAATTCAACGAATGACCGAGCGTATTGTACCTCAACGGCAAGAAGAAGGGCACGACGTGCGAGAAGGTATGAATCGAGCGTGTATTATTCTTGGCACGAAATGCAGCGAACTTGGACGAAGGGTTTCTGCTGGTGGAAGGCTATTGCTGGTTGCAGCGTCCGTTTGAAGGCTGAGAAAACTCAGCCATCGCTTGGAAGCTAGAGCTTTGTCTTTGAACGGACAGTCCTGGACGGTCGTTAAGTCTGCGCTTTGTCGCAAGACGCAACAATCACGACATGCGACGCGACTAGAACTCGTTTCGAGGTTCAGCGTGATAACCGACATGTTGGTGACATAATCGGAGAAGACTTTTGCGGTTGTCGTTACTGCTGATGCTACTACGGCCGACTAGACGTCGATAGCTGCAAAGTGCGTGGTGAACGCAGTGAGTGACTGAAGACAGGGTCGGGAGACGTACAGGTTGTGTAGGATAAAGAGATGCATTGCACAGCCTAGAGCTTCTTGTAAGTTTTTTTTTCAACGGCCGATGATGGACGGGTACAGCGACGTATTCACACGCGTGATGGCAACTTGTGGGCCTTCTGCACAGTCGCCGTGCGCGGTGCATCGCGATCGTATTGTCGCAGAAGTCGTGGTGAAACTCTCCGATCGCTTGGGTAGAAGTGTCGGGAAACGGGAAAGATGTCCACCGTTGAATTGATTTGACCCTCGCGTCGTCGCGTGATCGTTCGTTCGTTCGACTGCCCACGGGATCAAGTCGAAGTTGAAGCACATGTTCATTTGCCTGCGGCGTGACTACCGTCACTGAGATGGTCTTCCCGGCAAGACAGCGTGGTTCAATTGCAACAGGACGATTAGCTGTACTTGATCGTCTCATCACGAGTGATTTACAACGCGTTCGATGCCTCTCAAAGGCGTGACTATGTCGTGGTGATACGATCTCTAGGCTACCGCTTTGGTGAGGCCTTCAAAGTCTCAGCACAACTCCAGATCCAGCCGCCACGAGCGAGAACTGACGGATGCGCTTGAGACTGAAGCGTGGAAATGGCCTCAACGGTTTGCGTGCTCTTAAACGAACTATCGCCACTATCGAGTGCGATGGGTTCCTGGGACCCAGACACAGTGTAGGCGAGACGCTCATTTGGCACACGCACTGATAGCAAACTCGGTCCAGTCCCCAGCATCGTTGGCATTTCTCAACCCTTTGCAGTGACTGCAAAGTCGCTCAGATGACTTTGATGCAAATTACTTGCGACCGAAGCAGTGTTTGCCGTGTACTACACGGTCAGGAACTCGTAAATGAGACGATTACACACGACAACGTGACGATTACAATCGCAAGCGAACGACTTTATACTCAAACAAAGTCACACGTAACATGACGATGGTACAAAAGACAAACATACCTTTCAAAATTGTCGCTATATAGTGCCACGTGCGACTTGACGTTTGCGAGATTTGAGCTGCTTAATCGATCGGAACTGAGAAACCGACCGACTAAGTGATCTCGTAGATAGTAAATAAGTTAGTGCGACTACATGCTAGTGGCACGCGTGTAAAACGAGCCGTGGTCGAGCCGCAGAAACGATCGCTGGACTCGACCAAACCGACTCAATCCACCTTGCACTGGCGCTATCTCTGGAGGCGGGACTAACGGCGGCGGTCTGGACATTCGTCGTAGCTGCTCGGGCATTGGAATCGGTCCACCATTGCTTGATAGTCGGGAACGGTTACTCGATGCAATCGAGTACAGTGACGAGGCTGTAGTGGCACGCCGCTTTTTGAGCGTCGATGAAAACATCTTCTTGCGACCGCTCAGTACTTCGGGCAACACTTGATACACCTCTAGCTTCGCCTTAATCTGCGGTATCGAGTACTCGCCTACTCGATCAACGAGGAAATCAATCGCCACTAAATCCTCGTACATCACAAGCCAGTCAGCCACACGCTTGGTCACCAAAATTTGCCCACCGTCACCCAAGTCGCCAATCTCGTTCGCAATGACTTCTGATGCTCCAGTGTAAATCATCTTGCCCGTCACGGCATGTACATCCAGAATCAAAGCTCCATCGGCATCGACGGCATCGTGAATACCCATGCGTACGCGCAATCCTCCAAAAATGAGACGGTGACCTAGACGTTGTCTTCTCGTCACGGGTAGCAAACCGTGAAGCTCCTTGGGCCAATTTGCAACGAGCAACTGGAGCTGGACATCTAAACAGTACTCGACTGCTTCCCGCACAGTGTGAAACGCAAGCTGGAACGCATCGCCTGCAGTCGTAATCTCATACCCTCGATACTTCATCAACGACGCGCGAAGAATATTGTCGTGAATCTCTGTCGCGCGTTGCATGACCAGCCCGTCGCCAATTGCCCATAGAGCACTCGACGACTCAATGTCCGTAAACACAAACACTGGATTCACGAGCGGTGGCTCCGCCGACTCAATGAGCACCTGCGTATCTCTCGGCGACAAGAGGTCGCCTCCCTGCATAAACCTCGTCTGCACTTGCGCTTCAATATGGTCCGGCAGACACGGTCGAAACAGATTGAGCACACAGGCTTGACTGCACATGGTCGTGACTGCAAGTGCCATGCCCGAGAGATGGTAAATGAGCAAACTGACGCTAATAAAGTCCAGCAACTTGTCTTCATTGTCCGCGAGCGCGTACATGACGACCGACGCAATTTGAAACTGCAGGGAAAAGAGCGCATAGACAATCATAATGCGCTTCAGCCGTTGGTACACGGGCGACGTGACGAACTGGCCCTGCACGTTTTCATACTTTCGTCCGCCGAGTTTCAGCCGCAGAATGAGCCAAACCATGTAGACAAAGCTGACAAACTGCACAAAGTAGACGCTCAAGAGACACCGCTGGGTGTACTGGGTATAGCCTCCATGGGCGATCGCAAACGCCGACTCAATAGCCGCGTACACGAGCACCAGGCCGTGGACCGTCCAGGCGTAAAAGGTGATTTGCTTCTTCTCCTTCTCGACGCCTCGGTCCATCGACTTGGCTGCAATGTTCGAGAGCTCAAACGTCAGCGGGAACATCCAGAGCGCCACGGCAAAGAGCGCAGCGTCTCCGAAACAGAGCAACGCCGTCGCAAGGGCGTCGTGCGTCTCTTCGAGTTGCAACACCGTGTAGATGCCCATGCTGCTGTAGCGGCGGTAGACCACCTCGTCGTCGGTCGAGGCCGACGACGCGTAGTCCCAAGTCGACGTCTCCACCGTCTCAAAGCTGATCCAGAGCAAGTACAGCACGCGCGTCGTGCTCCAGAGCCAGAGGTAGACGAAACAGTAGAAAAAGAGCCACCGGACGCTCGACACGTGCAAGTCCCAGCTCCGACGCAGGCGGACCATGGTCAAGCCCGTGGCGAGACTCGAGAGGGCCATGCTCCCGACGGCGAGGGCCGTCCACATCATGGCCACGCCGTCGAGACGGACGGGAAAAGAGGAAGTGGAGGACGTGGAGGACGTGGAGGACGTGGGCAAGTGGGGAGGTGAGGGTGACGAAAACCGGGTGAGCTGCTCGGGTTGAATGGAGTTTTCGGAAGGAGTTCGTCACGAAAATCGGTTCAGTGCCAACGGCCATTCCGAGTGATGGCGGACGACTGACTGACTGAGTGACTGACTGTTGGTTTGTTGGTTTGTTGGTTTGACGGACGGACTGAACGACGGCATGCGGTCGGGATTGAGTGGTGTGTGTGTGTTGGTATGATTGCAACAGCGACGAGGCGAAGCGCGGGAAAAGAGCGGGATCTTTCCGAGCCACGACACCGTCGACACGCGATTCGTTGTGGCGTTGTCGATACAGGCTTTCGAGACACCTGGTGGAGGAGCGTGAGTGTGTGTGTGTGAGTGGCGTATGAAGGGGAGGGATGTGTGGATGTCGCGGCGTTTTCGAGGTGCCGTCTCCGATCCTGTTTAGCTGCTTGTTTGGATGGAGTTAAGGTGGCAACCACGGATAGACGCGAAGGTGAGCGACGGGCGACGTGTGGTTCGAACGGGAGCCGGAGCAGAGCTTCGTCTTCTTGCGTGTCCTACCTACCTCGAGGCACCACGTGGATGAAAGGTCCTTTTTCCGCCGTTACGACGAGAGACTTTGGAACACGTCGCGCCTCGCTGCGTTCACTTGAGTTGATTAACAACGGGCAGGAAGGAGGACGACCGGTCCCAGCGCTCGCTCAGTCCCTCCTTGACCTTTCGCTTTCGTGGAGCCCCTTCGCATCGGCCTGACTTCTAGTGCGTGCTGAAGGTTTCATCCGGAACCGGTGGAAAGTCGACGAAAGCGCTGCTTCACGCCATGAACGGCAGAGCTACTACGGCGGTTCTTGGATGTAGAACGCTGGATCGCACAAGTGTACGTAGCACAAGGCGTACAGGTGCATGTTGTACAGTGCAACGTGGTGTAGTGCACCGTCTAAAGCGTGGGCTGGCTGGCTCGTGAGTTCTACTGGATCATCACCTTCATCGAGTTCGCCAAAGAGCGACTCGTTTCAGCTCTAACGTTTCCGAAGAAGTGCATCTCTTGCTGCGGTGCAAGCCTGCGCACCTCGCACGTGTTTGTTGCTGCAGTCGTGGCTACGTGCGTTGCAGATGGCATCCGTGCGTACTATCAGCAGGTTTTGTGAAGGAGAAAGAAGCATGTTAAGTCTGCAACGCGCAGCTCATCGTAACGTTACGGCCTCGTAGACCTGGTAGCTGAGCCTATGCGCTCACCTTGCTCACGAGTCCATTGTACTAGTGCCAAACGCGTTCTTGTGGTGGTCGTGGAGAGTTAATGGCCAGCGTGACTGCTCCACTCGAAGCCAGTCGTGTGTTACAGCACCGATGCAACACGTGCCGCATGCAAACGGATGCAAGTGGTAGGTAGACTGGACTCGCTCCTTTCTTTAGATCCAGCAAACGCTGCTGACCTTTCACCAGATACTTTCGCTCGTGTACTCGCACTATTCTTCCACTTCAAGCTGAGACGAGCTCCGTGCAAAATGCAAGTGATACAGTGTGACTGGCCTGGAAGCGATACTGCAAACGCGACACGTTGCCAAGAACTCTGGTGCAGCGACACGATGTCCCACATTACGTCCTCCGCGTGTCTTCACCATCTCGACAGCGGTGCTCAGCACTTCCAATGTTTGTGCCCTCCTGCAGATGCGTGGATTATGCTGCGCGACTGGCTTCTAAGCTTGACTAATCATCCCATGGGGGAAGGATGTATGGCCTCCAGCCTTGCTGTCAAGCTTCGACGATAGCGGCTACTTGTCCGTCGTCGGCGATCTAGCATCTACACTGAATTCATCTCTAGGTTCATATTGCAATACAGCTCATTCATCTCATCACTACAATACTTATTGTGTCGCTGCTAGTCCGTCCTACGTGTGCGTCTTTGCCTCGTAAATCTCATGGAGCAAGATATTTCTGCGAAGAAACATAAAGTACTCGTCTACCTGCAGCACTGTTTGCTAAGGCTCTAGTTGCGTGCTCGAAGCTTGCCCGGAGCTTGCTGCACGTGCACCAACCACGAAAAAGAACTGAAAGCGCACGCGACATGCCGCCGAAAAGAATCGGGCTCGGGTTTTTTTCTCAGTACAAAAAGACAGACTGCGTGACCGACGGCTCGCCCACGCGCCGTTTTCGAGAAAAAGTGCAGTAGAAGGAGCAAGTTCTCAGGACCGTTAGAAAAAAGAAGCGCAATAATTGCAATACCAAGATAGCAGTGCGACTCGGCGGGGTTTGTTTCCACGCGTGCCTTTCTAAGTCTCATTTCGAGATTCGATTGATGGCAAACAGGGCCAAAAGACAGTCTTCGGTTGGTTCATCGCCGGATCTTTTGCTCGTTTCCACACGTCAGTCGCCCGCCGTCGGTCGTCGATCCCAAGTCCCGACATTGCAACCACTGGGCTTTCTATCGTGCGTCCTCGTCGACTCGTGAACTGTCTATTGTTCGCTTTTCGCTCTTGCAAAAAAGACTCGAGAGACGTCGGTGACCAGTCGTTTGCGTTCCATTCGAACCGGGAGCTCGAATCTAGAACCGTGGTAAGCTCGGGGCGTCGGACCTCAGGTCTGTGACGAGGCCGAGGGGCAAAGCTCGCTGCTGAACTACCGGGACGTCGCCCGAGGATCGTGTCTAGCATCTGTTTACCAGGTGACAGAGAGAGAGAGAGAGAGAGAGAGAGAGAGTCCATTATTGTTGGTCCTCTCGTACTATGACAACAACGGACGAGGGACCGAGTCAAGTCCCTCGGATCACTACTCCAGCCCCACCGACCGCTACGAGCAGCCACAGCCTCGCGCTTAGTGCGAACAAGAACAAGAACTGGCGAGCCAATTACCTGCGTGCGCTCAACATCGTCACGCCCGACGTGACGACATGGACGCGAGGACGTCATGTCTCAGCACCCGAGACCTCTCGACGCCCGACAGCCACTCAATTGACTGGTTCAGGACGTTCGGAGCTTTTGACGACGAGTCGACGACGGATTGTCGCAGGTGCCGAAGAAGGGACACGTCGAAGCTCGAGTGGCACTAGTAGCAGTTGCAGTAGCTGCAGTAGTAGTAGTCACCATCATCTTAGTACCAGGGGACGGTCGATCTCGACGTCGAAAAGCAGGCGGGGAGCGTCCCCCTGTGACACCGACAAGACGTCGATGTACGTGTTTGGCCTGCGCTCGCATTTGTTTCGAGCGCGACGAGCTACAAGCCGAAGTGACTATGGAAGTGTGAGGGGATATTCGGGAAAGTCGGCACCGATCAAGATCCCGAAGAGTGTTGAAGCGGCGTCTCCCACAGCGAGCGCATCGTCCCCTACAGAGGACGAAGCCAATCGAGCAGTTGAGTGTTTGCACGTGCAGAGACGGCCATGCAGTACGAGGAACTACCCGAACCCAGCAGCAGAGTCAAAGTCGTCGACCATGCAGCTGCTGTCGTGGGAAGAACCGCTTACAATGCTCGGACAAAGTGAATGGCCATTGCAGAAATGCAATAGCAGTAATGAGGTTGTAAAGAGTCCGGTGGACTGTCGGTGGTCGTTGAGACGTCCTGATGGTATTGTGGAAGAGTGTGAGGAGACGGAGGAGGAAGATGTGGATGGGTGCACGCAATCTGAGGATGACGATGAGGGTATATTTAAGATGGAGTTTGACAGCGAATCTACTGGTGGCAAGGTGGTTAGCGTCAACAAGCGAGCGAACAAGGAGAAGGAGCGTGTAAACGTGAGTCAACGTCGAACAAGCTGCTTGGACGATGTTAGAGGCACGGACGACAGTGAAGTCGTGACGCCCCTCTCTGCTTCGTTCGTGCCGCCGCACCAAATGGTGGATCATGGGTGCTTTTCGCTAGGATTGCGCGACAAGCTCAAGCGAAAGCCTGGTGTTTACTGCTGAACATGGTGGAATCTGGAAAGGCGTTGAGCGTTGGTTGAAGACTTGGGACGAAGGAAGCTCCAGGTGCTATGCTAGACAAGAGAAGCCACTTTGGTGTCGGTCTACCAGCTCAACCGATGAAGTATTATTAATTCAGACGCTGTCTGCTTCTGACTGTTCAAGCGTCTTAAGTTATTGATCGTGTGTGCTACGAGACGAGTTCAAGCAGCACTTTACCTGCTACCTACTTCGAACCAAACTCCCTCGTTCGGGTGTGCAAGGTATGAAAAACCACGACGCAGGTGAACCCATCGGAGTCCCTAAGCTACTCGAGCCCGACGTTGATCGATCGATAACAACTTGAGGGATCCGTTTGTGCTGATCCTTGGCAAAGATCCGCTTCCGTCGAGACAGCGCTGCAGGAAGCACTTCATACACGGCCACGTGCATATTCACTTGGGGGACCAAGTAGTCGCACAAGTACGTGACTGAGAAGTCCCGAGGTAAAGCGTTTTTGTTGGCCATCAACCAGTCAGCGATTCGTCGAGTGATCAAGATCTGACCTCCAGCGCCAACGTCACTCACCTCGCCAGCAATAACCTCGGCTGCTCCAGTGTACACTGTTTTCCCCGTGACAGCATGGGGACTATGGTGAAGGTGTCCATCCGATCCCGTTGCATCGTGGATCCCCATGCGAACCCGAAGGCCACGGAAAACCACGCGGTGCCCCACCCGGTGCTTCTTGGTCGCTGCTACCAGCCCATGGAGATCCTTGGGCCAGTCAGCTGCCAACAATTGAAGCTGCACGTCGAGGCAGTAAGCCACAGCTTCCCAAATCGTGTGGAAAGCCAATTGAAAGGAATCGCCGGCAGTTGTGATCTCGTAGCCTCGGTACAATGTCAGCAGAGACCGGAGCGTATCGTCGTGTACCTGAATGGCCCGTTGCATGACTTTGGAGTCCCCACTGGCCCACAGAGCACTGGAAGACTCGATATCCGTGACGACGAAGACTGGGTTGGCTACTGGAGGTGCCACGAATTTGCTGCGCTTGTGGACACCTGCAACTTGCGGGCGATTCGCTTCGACTACCAACTGCACGAGCATCTCATCTGGAAAGCAGCAGCCACAGAAGCGCAATGTACAGGGCAAACTGCAGCCTGTTGAAAGGGCGAGAGCCAACCCCGTGGCGTTGTACAGGACTTGGCTCAGCCCAATGTAGTTGAACGCCATCTCGTCGCGAGGGGTTCTCACGTACATGAAGAGCGACGTGCATTCGTACTGCAATGCAGAGAGGGCGTAGGCAAACAGGATGCGCTTGAGCCGGTGGTACACTGGCGAAGCTTGAAAGCGGCCGTTGATGGACTCGACGTCTCGCCCGTTGCGCTTGAGCAGGAAAAGCACGACCCCCATGTAGACGAGAGTCGTCACCTGCATCACGTAAATGCACAGAGCGAGGCGATACGTGTAGCTGGAATACCCGCCTTTGACGAGACTCAGCACGGCTTCTGCGATCGAGAAGCTTGCAATCAAAGCATGACCGAGCACCAGGTAGAGGCGAATTTTTGCCTGTTCCTTGGCCGTGCCTCGGTCCATTGATTTGGTTGCAATCTTGGACAACTCGTAGGTTAACGGGAGCGCCCACAGCGCAGCCGCGAAGTGCATGACGTCGCAGAAGCTCAATATAATGGTGAGTAGAGCTGGTCGGACAACTTGCAGGTCAGTCATTGCGTAGATTCCTGATTGATCGAGTTGTTTTGAGGTTGATGCAGGAACTGGTTGAGGTCCATCCTCGAGTTCAGGAATGGGGAGCAAGACCACCCACAAGTAGTAGCTACTGCAGGCGACAGTGTAAAGCCAGAGGTAGACGAAGAAGGTCAAGAAGAGCCATCGCACACTCGAGACCCGAAAGTCCCAGTCGCGGTATAATTTGATGGTAATGAGGAGGGTCGAGATGTTGGAAAGCAGGATGGACGTGAGACCGAGGAGGACCCAGGGCATGACCATTCGCGAAAGCGTTGCGAAGTCGAACTAAGGAGCTCAAGTGGCGAGCACCAGCCACGAGCATGCGCACGTTATTGTTGCGGTTGTCGATGGTTTGCGGTTGGTTTACTACAAGACGTTATGGAGCTTGGCAGTCGGCTGGTAAAATTTGCAGCTCGAGGTTGATACCTCTGAACCCGACAAGATCACCAGGTTTGGGGAGGTGGTCCAGCTGGCACATCGAATTGGTCTCTGGGTTGGTAATTCGGATACCATCTGGACATGAGACTGTGGTGACCAGCTGGGTGCGTTGTTGACTGATAACGGACAGAAGACATTCTCGTGTCAAGTCTTGAGATGACTGCAGAAGCACACGAGACGATTAACGGGGCGAGGAAGAATAGTGCGACTGCATTTTTGCGTGTGATTGACTTGACTCAAAGGTGCTTCATTGCTAATGACTGTCAAGTTGACGAGTTTCTCATGTGCTTGTGTCCGGAACTCGTCAGCTGGAAACCAAACACGAGACGTTGGCATCTCTCTCTCGTTTTCTTCATCCACATGGCGGTTCTCGTTGTAATGTCAGTTTTCGTTTGTTCATAAATATCGGCTCGCCGCTGCACACTCGACACCCCTTGCTTGTTCACATCACGTCGAACACACGCGCACCTGCTTGTGCCTCTCACAACGCACCGCCGCCTGCTTTTCTCCCCGTCCTCTGCTCCACTGCTCCTGTCATCGTAACCGTCACATCACTTTCTCAGTCCGCTGATCCATCGACGGCGCTTGCGATGCAGGCCCCTCTTGGACTGCATCCATCTCCTTCCTCTTTGCTGCATCCTTTTCTCTTTCCGCTAGCTCTTGCAGCACCAAAGATGCATCACATCCTGGATCCAAACAGTCTTCTTCATCCCGTTCCGAGCCAGAGCCGTAGAACGCATCCAATTGATCCGGATCGGCCGACACGACCAGATCCACTTCGTCCAGCGTCACGGTCTCCTCTTCGTCTTGCAACACCCTCTTTGGCACACCTGCTGCATCTTCGGGATGACCTACGAGCGTCTGATAAGTCCTGAGATCGTCGGCAAAAGCACTGGCCAGCTGCTGTCGTCTCGTCTCCAGCAACTCCCGTCTACGACCTTCCGACTCCTCGGCAATGCTCACCTCAAAGCACTCGAGCTCCTGTTGCTGCTTGGCCGCAACCTCTGCATTCTGTAATGCTGCCCTCTCTTCACACCGTTTCATCAGCAAACTCTCGACTTGGTCGACCTCTTCGACCACTTTTAGCACCAAAGTCCGGACTTGAGCGAGTTGCTGCCGCACTTTCGACACGAGATGAAAGTTCTGAGTCACGTATTGGTCACTAGCTGCTTCAGTCTGCAACTTCACTCGCGTAGAGCTCAAGGCAGCGTCGAGTGCTTGACCCCTATGATGGAATAATACCACCCAAATATAATTAGAAGAAGAGAAAAGGTAAGATCTCCAATAAGTACGACTGCGTTTTTCTATCGTCAGAGGAAATGTAGAAACAACACGTACTGTTTTAGTAATCGATCGTGGGTACGCACTGCTTTAGCGTATCGTTTGTGCTGGGAAATTAGAAACGTGTGACCTTCGTGACGGACGGAGGATGCTACAGGAGCTTCTGTAGCAGCAACGGCGTCGTTTGGCAACGCCGTTTCAACAGAGGAGCTGGTAGATACGCTGCGAAAGGGTATGGAGCGGTTACTGACGGCTGAAAGCTCACGGTCGAGCGCAGACGAGAGCTCGCGCGACTTGGCCACGACGTACTGGAACCCGAGCATGATGGAGACGTGAAGGTCACTAAAACGAAGGGGGCTCCCCGGGCATGGTATTTAGAAAAGCGCGGGATAGAAATGCAACGAAACGAGAGCAACATAAGCTGCGAGCAGCTGAAGCGGCGGTAATCTATTTCTGATAGTTTCTCCATTTGTGGATATGACTATTTCGAGTGGAACTCTTCTCTGAACTTCCTTCACGAAACGGGCAAAAACATAGAGAACTCGTACTCGTACTATGCGACTCTTGCATTTATTTGCATACTAACGTAACGTGCACGAAGCGTACCGATGAAAGCTTATACGTACGGGATGCAGATACATTTGAACTTGCATGTACAATCCCATTCACTTTCTTGACCACGGCGTTGTACAGCACGTAAAGACATTTACTGCCTGTTCTGTATGATCGAGAACTAGCGCTGGAGGTAAACAAGTGGACGCACATGGTGTCAGTTATAAACTTCGGTCCATCTAAAAATACTGCGCCCACGTTCACCATACTACGCGCACTGCACACTCGCAGCTGGTACAGATGTAAACGCAATTCGTTTATGGTTACGATAGTGTTGCTGAAGACCTAGCGACAGATGTCTTCGTAGCTCGCTCCCAGCAGACTCGCGTCCACCATAACGCTAGTGGTAGATCGACACGAAGAAACTACATTTTGCGGTAAGCATGACGCCTAACGTCTTCACAAGCTGCGCCATTTCCCAAAGACACAAAGGATGTAATGATCGACACTGACGGTATGTCGTGATGATTAAGTAAGGGATGAATTGATGTCCATATTGCATTGATCTGGACTGCGGTACGAATACAACCGGGCACAACATCGACTACGAAGAGAAGATAAAGTGTAGTGCTGGTGAAATACGAATCGTCATTTATCGATAAGGACGTATGCTTGGGACTCTGCTCCATTTAGACCATTGAGTACCTCGTATCGATCGGGTTCGAGCCATCTTACGTATACGAAACACCGCGTCGTATCACATATTGCATCGCTCTGCCTGTACAGGAATAACAGTACACAGTTCTGCGCGTTGAGTGGCGATGATGCGATTAACGTTGGCTTCGATTGCCAAGTTTTGTGATGCCATCCCGCGTACATCAGCTCTTGCACAGCAACGCAACTGTATTATGCGCTACCTAGACGTCATCCTTGTTCTTATTTGTGCCATCCTGGCGCTACACTCACTGTAGGCAGCCTAGTCAAGCACGCTGTAGAAACAATCTTAGCTTGCTGCAGAACTAGCATGGTGTCTGTCTCAGCTCACGTTGTGCAGAACGCTTGTCTTGGCTTTCAACGCGCTAACACCGGTACGTAGCAGTTATGTAGTGCTTTTTAGAGCTGCATCTGTTGCTTTAAAAGGATCAACACTTCAGAAATGCGATACGTACGCACTGCCATCAACCGCTATCGTCAAACATGTGCTGATCCTTTGAAATCATTCGTATGAGCATGTAAATGGTATTATGATGAGCTCTGGCACGCCTAAAAGGACGTATGGAGGATTCTCACTTCGACTTGAGCTACAGCGACTGATTCCCAGGACTTTCGCGGGGGCGGCTGCAGAGCTTAGAGATGGTCTTCTATTGCGTAAGAGCGCACGGGCGAAATGAATAAGCATTCTCGAGGAAGGCTGCTTGCGTCTAGTCCAACGATAATAGTTAATGTCTACGGTGTCTGGATGACGGAGAGGCAACACTTTGATGACTAAGACGTTCCAGTGCCATGCATCATTACACGCAAGACAACTATGACAGCGATATAATGTAGGTAGCTACGGCGATCGTACGACGCGAATCTCAGCCCAGAAGGGTAGACCGCAGCCAATTTGAACGCGAACACGGCAGTAGTACTTACTATTCTTTGATAAAGGTCACGTGGAACCCTAATGGCGCGGCAGCATGGGTCGTACATGCTTCAAGAGGTGAGCGTTGGCTTCAGATCCGTATAGTCGGGCAGCAGGTCAAATGTAGTACATTCCACAACGAACAATTACGCAGACAACATGGATGTTATAGCTGAAGCGAGTGAAGCAAATGGATTCACACCATGTTGTTTGGTGGACAGTGGATGATTATACGTCAACGTCGATGTAGACGCCGAAGGTAGCGCATCTAAAACGTATCGTATTGAGAATGAGAAGCCCAGCAGTCTTCCACGTACGGAGATCGACCCGCGATGAAGAAAAGTGGAGGAGAAAACGCATTGAGAGCTCAGTTTGAAAGGGGGTTCGATCGGGCTACCTAACGCAACTGGCAGGAATTAGTGAAGGTCACTAGACCATAGTGGATGGAGATGCCAAGCTCGATAGATCATATTCACTGTACTCCAAAGGCTGCATGTGAGATGCAACTAAAGCAGCAACGGGTGCAAATTTTAAGAACGACGGTCAATGCGTCGGTGGCTGGCGGGATAGACGTAGGAAGGTGATCGAAGTGACCGCAATGCACTTTACTGAGAATAAAGATAAGTACGCATATGCTATGGCATCCAACTACTATTATCATACAGCAGGACTTACATGGACACATCGTTGTCTCATAGATGATGATGATGATGTCCTTGGATGTTTTTTGCCTTCCGAGTCATGATCTTCGACGACGATTTGGTTTGCCAACTACAAATCCATGCAAAAACTCACACGATTGCATGGATTTATCATCGACGAGGCAATGCCACATGACATGAGACAGCAAACATGTTGTCTGTATCAAAACCCAATACTTCTCGTAACTTTTGATGGACTGCGAACTAGAACTGTCTCCGTCAGGTCCATTGGCCAAGCAGTACCCTGCTGACTGACTAGACCATTCTTGGACATGTTGAAGCCAAAACAGAGGTCAGTTTAACACACGACGATCAACGTCGTCTTATGGTCGCACGCTTCAGTGCGCTGTACAACATGTTAGAACCCATCGTACCATATTGCAGTGTTGTTGTTTTTTGCATGATCGCATTTGATACGTCAGTACGGCTATCAAGTCTACAGTTGAGTGCCAATCCGTCACGAGCTCACTACATTTGACTTGACAGAGATCCTTTGCGACCGAGACCAGCGTCCAGCGAAAGCCCATTATTTGAGAACACACAAGGATCGTTGAGGTGACGAATTGCAGAGTGAACATTACGCTCAATTGGTTAGACTCACCAGTCTCTTGTGCCAAACCACGATGCGAATCGCCGAAAGGCGGGCTTGAGCACGATACTATACCCACCGTTTAGCAGCTGAGGTATGACGACCTTGGATTCGTGATACAATTCACGGTACAGAGCACCTCTTTCGGGACTTCGGATACGCCCCAGATCGCCTACAAGAAAGGATGCGTCGCTGAACATTGCAGATGCAAGCAGCACGCGCCTTGGTTTTCTTGCTCTCGTCTATTGCACGTTAAACACACTATCGAAACAGTAGCGGGTGTGAATCATGCACACACGACCGATACGCACGCACGGGATAATAGGTCGATCAAACGAGCAGAAGCGAAGAGTTTTGCGTGGATATGACGTCGATATATAGCGTCGGAGGCCACTGCTTCGTAGCGGTCGTTGTCGTGGGCTCAGTTTCCCACGCGGTGTCGGTACTCGAGCCAGATTATCATGCACGTTTATATTATACAAAGCCCCTGCTTGCACGGTGCTGTAGTGAGACCTTGATGTCAGGATATACACGGTCAGATTGTGCCTTGCACGATAGCTTCCCAGCATCGTAAAGAAGTCGCAAAGCTGCGAAGAAAATAGACGAGGTCACGGTAAACCAGCACTATGGAATTTCCCATAGGTAGCAGCAGGAGCGCAGGTAGAATATGCCATCAGCAAAGCACGCAGCTGCTTAATAGCGACAGCTATCGACCGAGTGCATGTTACTTCCAAGACACACGTGAAGACGGGTGTTGATCAGAGAATAGATGCCCTGTTGCTCTCTAATTCTACGGCAATCAAGTCACTGACGCGGCACTCGCCGCAGCAGAAAAAAGCTCCAATCTACTCAGTTTTCTTGATTCTCTTGCTATCTATCAATTATGCTACGTCATTGAGCCACGAACGGTGTAGCACTATTCCAAAAGCCTGTCGCTACCAAGGACCGTCTACCTCCTACATTCTCAGTGTTATTCTCGTTGTCCATATATTGTTCGGCCAACAGGTTGAGCTCCGTTCCAAATTGCATTATACCACGCTCCTTTCCGTCTGTGAGAATGCTGCAATCACATTGAGTGGGTAAGGAGCAGGGATAGAGATGCATATAATAGGTCTGTTTTGTTCACGACAAAGTTAAGCTCGAGTGCATGACATCACGGAAATCACCATAGATATTGTCGACTAAATTCAACGTAAATGGCGTACGACAGGAGCTACGACGAGTCATTCATGCCGATAGATCCGACGAAGAATAGCGATTTTCACGCTCAGAACTTCAATTCGAGTGAACGAGTGAACTCTTGCATCGGATCAGCCATCTCTGTTGCCACACCGTTATAATGACGTGGCATCCTGGTGTGTGTTGTCATCGAATCCGGCTCGGACGCCCGTTGGAAGGCCTTCTACATTGAGGATTCTTGACCGTGGTTGATACTCGACGAGCTGGCTAACGTCTGGCCAAATTTGTCCAGACTGCAGCAAAAAACGGTTCGCGGACAGGATGGGCGAGACAACACTCGGAGCTAGTCAGCGATTCGGTTTAATGCATCAGCTTGTACAAGGCTAGATGCTGCCCCAATGTCAGCTCACGGTTTGACGTAGAAGTTTTGAATGCCATATTCAGTCAAGCACCATGTCATTTCGGTGTATTGTCGAACGAATGGAGGCCAGCATTGGAGGTCTCCCGCGAGCAAGGTTTTGTCTCACGGACAAATGGAAGTTGGTCTATAACGTCGGACAATCAGAACTGAGTGGAGTATTGAAGGCTATTGCCTCTTTTGTGATCCATTGTAGACATCACAAACACCTCATGACTTTTAAATGCCGGATCGATGCATTCCAGCCTTCCAAGTTTGACTTGCATCAAGCCTACAACACCTACACGATTCACTTCGGATATATCTCCGAGGTGCTGAATTACTAACAGACGCAAAAGTGAGACGGGTGACATGTTTGCCGTAGTTACCGAACATCGCAAGCTGTTGCTCAACTTCTTGCTGCCCACCGCAAGCGTTCACTCTGTAATACAACAACTGATCGATGCAAGAGTAATCCTGACACAAAGTAGTAGCCGTTCAAAACAGGAAATAAAGTTACAGACCTCGTCGCCTATATCAGGAGCTGGGACGGGAACGACCACTAACCGATTTTTCGAGAGATGCAGTAGCTGCTTGGTGTAGGCGTGTTTGCTAGAAATTGACTCTCAGCACCTTTCTGCAATTTCCTCTGCCGATGGACAGAACGCCCTACTCAAACTTGTTTAGCATGACATTGAAGTGAATTGTTATTTGATCGAAACGAGTAGCGTAGGCTTCGTAGCTGACGTGCAGCCCCAGAACCTCGTCCCACCCGATGTTACATTTTACTAGCCTGAAGTTCGACATCACTTCCCTTTCGTCGACTCGCATGATTTGGGCATTCTTCTGTGTTACTGCATTGGCGCTCTCAACTGCAGGCACCGGCCTAATTCTCTTCAAATTTTGTAAGGACTGGGAAGGTCGCGCTTCCTGTGTCCGGTGGCTGCTCGCTGCATTTTTCATCTGCCAGTTCATTACTGCGAGTGCACGACTTGCATACTTCATCTGGCTCACTATTGCGATAAATAAGGGAAGTCACTCTGGCGATTACGAAGACATGCAAGAACAGGCGGTGGTGACAACCGAGCTTTATGACATGGGAACGAGTGCTGTGCTGAAATTGATCCAGAAGCAGAACGGCTGGATCACGACAGTCATCATCATCGGCGATACATCGCAGTTCGGAATATTGATATGGATCACTGCTTTGGTGTACGAATTGTCAAAGCTCGTGGCGCTTTCAATGGACCGCGGAGAGACCCACGAGCGTGCAAAAATCCGTCTCTATTCCACCATAGGTCACGTGAGCATTGCAGTTTTTCTGTTGGTTCAAGTCGCACTCGCCATTAGCTATATGGGCTACTCTCGATATGCCTACTCGATGCTATTAGCCGTTTACGCTTTACAGACTGGTGTCTTTGTTTACATGATTGTCACGGTGGTCGTGCTGAAGGTCAATGGTCGGAGTTACGAAAGCATTCATGGACGGTTCGTGACGTCGCCTCTCTATCGCCGACTGAAGTGGATCATGTACGCGGAATGACTTGTATGAGATGTTGCTGAATCTTTTGAATGGAAACGACTAACTAGGAGTCTGCTTTGAAGGTTAGCGTACGCCTTCTTCGCTTTCCAATTTCAGCTGTCGTCGGTGATTCTATACGCGGCTCCAGCCGATAAACAGAAATTGTCCGAGTTCGCTGGAGTGAGCTTCACGCTCTATTATCTGCGAGGTTTCGTGTTCTCAATCGTGACCGGGTGCAGCCAGCTCTGTATGGTGAAATGCATGAGTTGCTGCGTACCAGAAGAAATCAAGGCGGAATATACGCAGCGTCTTGAATGCATGACTTCTCCTGGGGGCTACGATCTACCCTGTGTTAATCCAGTCTTTGTGGTTACCGATATCGAATCGTCCAGTGCGCTTTGGGCGATTGAAGATGGTCGCATCATGCAGCAAGCAACTCGACTTCACGATGACATTTTGCGCTCCTTACTTGCGGCATACCGAGGATACGAGGTCGCTACAGCAGGCGATTCTTTCCAGTTGGCTTTTCACACGATCAGAGAAGCGGTTGAGTATTGTTTGACTGCTCAAATGCATCTACTGAAGGCGAAATGGCCCAAGGATCTCCACGGCTTGATACCTGCAACTCGAAAAGAACGTGTGGGCACAAAAACAATATTTAGAGGTCTCCGAGTTCGCATGGGAGTCCACGACGCTGCTGAATCGGACGGACCTCTCATCTGCGATGTTCATGTCGTGACGGGAAAGCTGACGTACACGGGCGCTTCCGAAGTTATCACCAACGAGATAGGAGGTCTGGGACCTGGAGGCCATATTTTGGTCACCGAGCGTGTGGCTGAATGGCTCGTTACGAATTCGTCGCAAATGGATGTCAAGTTTGTCATGGAACACGTGTGCAAGTATTCGCTGCCCCGATCAAATGTTGCACTGGAGGTCTTTCAAGTAGTGCCAAAGTCGCTGGCAATGCGGTGCAAAAGCTTTCGATCGCCTCAACATGTTGTGCAGATCGAGCGAGAGACGTCTCAAACCAGAGCTGAATGTCGTATGTTTTACACGTCCTTGCAGCTATTGACTTACAGTTGAAGGTACGACAACCGTTGCTAGAAAGCGCTTCAATCCAGTAGAGTGGTGTGGAAGGGAGTGAGTGAGGATCTGGGAAGTGGAGCAATCACGAGCAACAGTGCTGTGTATTTAGTGTGCACTACTTCGGCTCCATGCAATGGCTTGGTACATGCCAACCTGTGACAAAAGGTTCCCGTAGGATGTCGTAGAGTTTGAACATTGCGTAAAGAATCGTGCAAACCACGTAAGCTTGAATGATATGAGAGCGAACTTGTGATCGTACGTTTAAAAGCTGTTAGCCTCACTGATATGCTTTATGAACGAATGAAGAGCAGTGCCTTCTTATACCAACGGTAATGAGATTCGTGCGATTTAGGGTAAGATGCTTACAAGCCCAGCTCCATCATTTCCTATCCGAAGTCGTAGCATTGGTCGATCGAACAGGTGGGGAAGCAAGTTGACTTCGCGACTTTATTTCGCATTCTCGCGCAAGGTTTTTGACCACGGAAATGGGGATTAGTGCCGTGTTTTCGTGATGATAGCTACTTTAACGTTGCAGCTTCTACTGCTACGACGACTAGTTCATTCTAGATGGTGCGACTTGCGATTTCCTCATACAGAATGTGTAGGAAACAGTATCGGACATTCATCTTGATGCGTCCTGAAAGACCGAACTGGTAAGTAAACTTCGAGTGTTCGAAAGTGCAGCCGCGCTTTAGACTGCACCTGAATTATTGTCCAAGCCAGGCACCATTGTCGTATCCGTGTCTAGAACGGCATGCGCAACCGGGTTCAGATGGCGTTGCTCTCGTCTAATAGAGACGTCTACAACATTGTTTTGAAAGCTTACCTTGATGGCCTCCGTTCCTAATCGACGGTCTCACTTCATTTCCTAATTGACGTCTTCACCTCATCTAACAGCGCCATCTAACAGGCGACCTCTGTAATCGAGTACCATCCTTAATCGAATAATCCTACTACCAAATTAAAGCGACCGTCCTCGTCTCCAGCAAAGATAACTACAATATTCTCCTCATCGACAAAAGATCACCTCAATCCCAGGGACAATCGCGACAATCATTGAATAACCGCAGAAAGTCCCGTAAAAATGAAGGTTGCACTAAGGTACGCGTTCCCCCCCCTCAAATCAAGCGGACGAAAGCGTCGTACTTAAACGAGTTCGCCGTCCTCCGCAGTCGTCCAACACAATGGCTACAGGTGATGAGGATGCATGGGAGTGGGAAGACGACCCTTCTACGTCGCCCACTTCCTCTGCAGCACGCTCTAACGTACATGGTCATCAAGAGGAGACGCAGACGCATGCAGCCTTACCCGAATTATTGTCACCCGATTCCGGGAAGTGGCAGTTTGATCTCTCGGAACTCGAGCTCGAGATGTCGCGGGGACTTCCGCCTGCCTTTGCGTCGCCTTTTAGCGACTGTGAAGGCGCCACGAGCACTGAAAAGAAGCTGATAGCAGCTGTCGTGAACTTGGATGCATGTGGCCGATCGGACAAGGAGCGGGTACGGACGCTGCAGGCGCTGGCGCTTGTCGTCCGACTGCACGTTCTTGCAGCTCGTGGCAGCTTTGGAGAGCTCCTGAGTGACCTGGAGACACCTACAGAAGCAGTCAAAGACCTTGAAGAAGAGCTGAAGCAATTGGCTGGAGACTGGGGGGACAAAGAGCTGCTGGAACCGACGCTGCGACCGTCGCGGCGACAGCAGCTAAAGGAGATGACAGGCTTACTGCGTCATGCTCTTACTACCGAGGACGAGGACTTGACGCTGTTTCAGCACGTGATTGAGCAGCTCTTTCGTGGACTGACGGACCAGAAGCTGGTGGTGTCGATGAAGTGGCTGGAGCAGCGTACTGACGATGATAGGGAGAAAGAAGGGGAGACGCTGAGCTACTTGAGGCAAATCTTGGCTTTGAACACGAGCGATTGCGGTGATACGAGTCGCACGACGACGTTGTCAGAGGCGGAGATTTTTCAGGACGCGAAGGATATTGGCCGAGATGAGTTGCTGATTAATGGAGTACAGGTGGAAGGCACTCGGAAATACGATGCAGTAGTGGACGCGCTGCAACGTGAGCTAAAGCTTGTACTGGCTAGTCAAGTTGGCAAAACAATCGAGCACGCGCCCCTGGCTGTGAACAATGCTCTGCAGTCGATCGCAATGGCTGTGCTGCATGCGATCAACCGCACTGAGTCGGGTGGGAGCTCGTACGAGGTACTAAGCAAGTTTCTAAGCAGCCATGAAATGGACCGAGTGCTGCTTCGTCCAAATTCCGCTCGAGCTGCTCCGCTTGAAGTTCACGTGGACGTCGGCCCGTACTTGGAGCTCATTCCTGGTCTTGACATGGTCAACTGGGCGTTTGGTTTGCGTGTCAAGCTAACTGCTGCGACCTGGTATTTGGTATGCGACGCTGACGACCCTACAGAGGAACTGCACGAGTTTGAGACAACGTTCTGTAATCGATTGGCCTTCTCAGTCGGACTCGCACCTTTCCATCCACTCGACAGCATGCGCAAAGACGGCGGAGAAGTTGCGATTCGCTTGGTGTTGCCAGCTGGGGACTCCTCGTGCGCCCAGAGTCCTCACCGGCAACGGGTAGAAGAGGAGAATGTCATGGGTAATTCCAATCACTAGCGCGCTTGTTGCCCGCTGAAAACTCTGAAATAGGAAGCTACAACGTGTCGTTGGACTCACACAGCCATGTCTATCATCGAACCACTACTCAATTGATGCGATCTTCTACAGGATGCACACACCGTCACCGTTAGGTGTAATCATGACGATGCTGGAGTATCGTGTACCCAACGGGTCGTTGTACACGCTACCCTCGGAACTGCGTGCTCCAGCTGCCGCGGATATTGACGCTCGCTCGCTACCAGAATCCACTGTCCCGATCTCGTGGCTCTGCTTCTTCACGTACACGACGATGGCGCTTATCGCTACACAGCCCAAGCCGCCAACGACCACGAACAAGGCCGATGTACCTGCACCATTCTCACCCGATACATCCTTGGCGCGTTTAGACAGCGCCTCCTGACTCTCGGTGGTACTGCTGCCTGACGGTGTCGGTGCCTGCGGTGCAACTGCAGCCACCGGTGCCGCGACTGGGCTTGGTCCTAAGGCAGCGGGAGGATCCAAACGCAATGCCGTCTTCTCATGCTCTGATGTCGGCATTTCAATGACGCTAGGGATTTCCATCCATGCTGACAATGATGCTGAACCTGCAGCTGTCTTTGTAGGCTCCTGTGTCGGAATATCAATGACACCCGAGCCTTCTGTCGATGCCGACATGGATGCCAAATCTGCAATCAACGAGGAGGCATCAGCGGTATTGAACTTGTTCGTGCTCAAACCAATGCTGCCGTCGATAGCAGCGAAGGTAGGAGCAAAAGAATCGTCACTCTCAGTAGGCTCCGACGCTGAAGTCGCACCAGTCACCGAAGGCGTTTTGATCACATTCGCCATATCAGCTACAGAAGAAGAGGATGACGAGAATGACTTGCGGTTCAACGCATCATCATCGAAGTCTTCACTGCCGAATTCGTTGTTGTCAACGTTGTCGTCGGCGATCGATTTTTGCTCGCGCTTGGTGCTAGATTTGCTCAAATCCGAGTCATTCTCGCCCGAGCTCGTCCCAGTCTTCAAGTCTGACAACTGCATGACCGTCGGCGATGTCAAATGCGAGGTGGTCGGCTTTACCTTCACTTCCTCATTCAGCGATGGAATCTGCTCCATTATAGTCGCAGAAGCTCCAGTTTCGCTGGGCATGACTGGTTTCGGAAACCTCGATACGGTACTCTCAGATGTCCTGTCGCGTACATCGTGGGTTGCTGCATCCTTCTCTGAGGTAGAAGTGAATGCAGTGGGAACGATAAGAAGTGCGGACGATGTCTTCGTTGCTGTAGACGTCGTGGGAGCCGCGGCTTCTGCAATCGTGCGAGCCTCCGTGTTCACATCGGATGCCGCTGTCTTGACTGTAAAACCAGCAGTGCCTGCTGGCATACTCACAACGGGAGCCATTGACTCCGTGATATTAAATGATGTATCGTCTAGTGTCCTCGGTCTGAAGTCGGAAGAGTTTGTGATCCAATTCACGACAGGAGATTTGACCCGAGACTCAGTCGTCTTTGCCATCTCACTCCTTCTCAAATCCTCCGTTCTACCCCCCGCTGTTGTAGCCGCTGCACCAATCGTCAAACTCATGTTCAAGTCAGACGCATTGGCCACCGTACCGGCAGCAGAGGCCACTGGCTTTATAGAGCCAGAAGCTGGATCAAGCACCAACTTCTTGTGCTCCGTAGTGTTCGTCACCACGTCCACAACGCGATCATTTGGGTCGCTAGAATTCGTCGACACGTTCATCGCACCAACTACCGGCTTCACAACGTTCAACAGTGTATTATTTGCAGTCACCCCTCTAACGTCGGTACCATTCACAACATGAGCCACCTCGTCAAGCAACAAAGTGCTCTCCGTCTTCCTGTTCAAATCAGAGGCATTGGCCACCACATCCTTTACAGGATTCGACGCATTCAAAACGGGAGATATAACGTCTCCGACTGTTTCCTCTGTCAAAGACCCGGCATCATCAACTCGCACCTCTAATTGAGGTATCCCCGTCTTCCCAGCTTTTGACGCATTGTACATTTCATTCTCCACGGCAGAGTCAGCAGCAGTACGATTCACTGGCATTCCGGTAGTCGTATTACCTGCTAAGTTGGCAGCTAAGCCGACCGTCTTGGCGGCATCTGTCACTGTCTTCACTGTCAAATCACTAGCATCAGTCCCTCTTTCCACGTCAAGAACAACAGACTCAACTCCGCGACGAACAGCATCAGTGGAGCCACTCAGCATCGAATCAACTGGCTGCGTCTCGTGATCCAGTTTTCGTCCCATTGTATCAACCACATCATCCGGCACAAAAGAGCCATCCACTGCCTGCAAGACGTCGTCCCTTACCACTTTGACACCACTTTTGCCCGTCTCCTTGTCACTTCTCCTAGTATAAGTGTCGCCGACAATCAACCCAGCAGTCCCGTCGTCGCTTCCTATCAAGTTTAACCCATCAGCAGGCCGCGACTCGACCCAGAGAGGAACCGACTCTAATAGAGCCGGTTTGGAGCCGAATGCACTATAACCACTCAGAGGTCTTGTCTCTCGTGGCACAATTTGCGTCTGTGTATCGCTGTCAAGTGCAGACGCCGGTGTTTGTGTTAAAGCAATTGCGACCGCGAGGTAGACGGTTGTGGCCATCTGAGCGAAAGCACGTCGCATGATTGCGAGATCGACGTGGCAAAAAGCGGCTCTTGATGATGCACGAGAGAGGCGGTCGGTCAGTCAGTTGGTCAGTTGGTACTTTGGGTCCAAAGGCCAAAGTGAAAATGCCATGTACTGACTGGCTGACTGACTGACTATCTGTCGACTACCACGATTTTTATTCTGCATAGTGAGGACAAGTCAGGGAAAATACAGCGAGAGGGGGGACCAGGGTTAGAGAAAGGAGATAAAGTCGCTGAAGAGACGGGTCGAGGGTGGTACCACTTTTTATCACGAAACCTTTTTTTTCACACAGTGATTAAAAAGACGCGTGGCTACATTTGAACAAAGTGCTTTATATGAACAACAAGAAGACCGAGTCGTTTGCGTTAACGGGGACACCGCGATGGCACCAAAGCGCTCGCTTGCCTCGAGTCGACACCTTGTTGTCCCTCACACACACAAACGCTCGCCACAGTGATCAGAACAAGAACGTGCGAGCGCACCGTCTGCTACTGTTGGCAGCGTGTGTAACGCCACCGACTGGAAAGTTCCTCAGACGAGACGCCCTTTCTGACGTGCACCGTTTCGCATCATGCTGGACATGCCTGGACTTGTCGGTTCGTTTTTATGTGCACGGCCACTGTCGTTGTTGTTGCCACGTTGGACTGCACAACCACCTCCGATGCACGACCGTGTGCGCCTATAACGGCATCGATGGTCCTTTGGCTCAACGACAGTCAAATGGCAGCGGAACACGTTTACCCGCTGGTCCTTTTTGCAACGGAAGCCTGCTTGGTACGCAAGAATTCATGACTAGATTGACGATATCGTTGCGTCTTGTACTGTAGCCAGCGCGAGTGGTAGGCGTCGAACGATGGCGTCACACATATGTGTGTGTCCCTGAGATCGTAGCCTATCTGGTCGTCGTTCAAATGCCATCAAACTTAAATGAGCAGGTGCGATGATACGAAGTTCTCCAAGTATGAAGTCTCAGCTGAGCTTTGGTCCTCCCCTACGCTCCGAGCGTCGTCACCACTTGGTCAAGTTAGACGGATGACGTTTGCTGTATCATTTCCGTTTGATACAGAAAACGTCATCTGCCTTCCGGCATTCGCCTACCTCTCTCCTGTAGAATGGCTGCAACTCCATTTATAGATCCTCCATGATCAACGGATGTGCAACGCACGCGTGGTCGTCGTTGATGTAACCTTTGTGTACAGTTGGGTTCAGGAACCCAAACTACAGGCAACGTCTAGCTCATCCTACGTGTACTCTAGCCTAGCTTTCACATCACCTACAGTCTAGCTACTCCTACGAAACTCGAGCCGGATCTAGCTAAGCCAACCTAGACTCTAGTTAAGCGTCACCGGAGCCAACCTCGAATCCGTCATTGACCGTCGCTCATCTGCTCGTCCAGATGACTCGCGACGCTGCTTCCCCAAGCGGCAGCAGCTCGTCTTCTGGTTTCTCCAGCGACGACTCCATCGAGAACGTCCCGGCGTGTCCATCTGCCTCGTCTCACGCTCCGAACGTTCGCGTAGAAGTACTAGACGAGTGTAATACGAACGTCTCACCGGTCCTTGAGTCCAAACTTGACGCGTCTATAGCTTCTCTGGATGTTCTTCAGTGCTGCCGTGATGCCGCCGAGTCAATCACAAGTTCTTCAGTACCCCAAGACGTACCCTATGAGCAGTTCACGGCCGCTATTGGCCACGTGACGCTCCATTGGCCGTCTCTGGACACGGGATCGAGAGCTCAAGAGCTGGCGGAAGACCGACTCTCAGCGTACGCTGCGCTCCGTGCTGCAGTTTATCGGACGTTTCATCGGGCATTTCCATTGACCGGGGAAATGTACAGCCAGTGGATCAGTGATTGCAGTGCAAAAGGAGACTCGATTGAGTGTGTCAAGTCGCTCTTTGAACTGGCTCATCAGGACTACTGGTCCGTCTCACTGACGTTGCAGTATCTCCGATTTGTGAGAGAACACGGCGACAAAATGGAGCTGGAAGCTGCAATGAAGAAAGCACAGACGACGCTAGGGACGCACTTTGCACGAGGGCATGAGGTCTGGGCTCTCTGTCGGGATCTGACGGCGGAACTGTGTGACGAACAGGACGAGCGTCAGGACGTACGTCTGGAGAAAGAGAGAGCGATTCGAGACCTCTTTTGTCGACAGATGCAGCTGCCATTAGAGCAGAACGACCTGGTCATGTCGGAGTTTCGAGCTTGGAACGCGTACAACACGCTTGATGTAGAAGCTGCGAGATCGGCGGTCGAAGAGGCGTCAAACCGACAGAGCAAGACCTTTGGACCAGTAATGAAGAAGCTACGTGGGTTCGAGGTGAAGGTTCAATCGGTGGGCGAAGCCGCGGCACCTGAAGTGGCGTGGCTGCAGTACTTAAATTTCGTCAAGCACCGCGTTGTGCCATTGATGAGTGGGAAGGCTGGACCAGAAGAAGGAAGACAGGTTGTCGTGTGTCTGTACGAGAGAGCAGTGGCGGTGGTGTGTCTGGGGCCCACGCTATGGGCTAGTTATCTCGAATACGTGGAGTCTAACCAACTTGTTGCTGATAAATCGAAGCAAAGGGGTTTTGAGAAGCTAACGATCGCCCGAAGAGCTGTACGAAATGTGTCGTTTGACTCTTCTATCTGGATTGAGCTGTTGATCGAGATGGAGCGCAAGGGCACACCTGCAGACGAGATTTTGGAGTTTGCGCGACACGAGTTACTAGTTCGCTTGAGGTCACCCATGGATCAATACCATTTGTTAGGCGTGCTGCTCACATTGTGTGACATAATGCGCCGTCACGTTTGCACCATCATTCACGACAAGACTCCTGATATCTCGATGTCCCAGGTCGAGTCACTAGTCGGTGGAGTGTTTTCAGAATGCGGACACTTTATTAACAAGACCTTTCCGGACTTTGCTGAGGGCAAGTTACGACTGACAGAGTACCAAGCGAAGTGCTATTGGGCACTGATGCCACCTGTCGAAGTTCCAGCGCAATCGCCTGCAACAGCAATGAAAGTGTCCGAACAAATTAAACTCTGGAAGAAGACGCTTACTACACCTCTTAGAAGCCAGGTCGCAACGTGGATCGCCTACATGGAGTCGATTCGACGCACGAATGCATTTTCGATTGATCGCATCCGCACAATGGTGTTTAAAGAGGCTGTGCAGTGTGTGACAGATGTCCCTAATGCGCTGGCTGAGGCATGGCTTGTTTTTGAGCGTGAGTATGGTGATTTAGCAAGCTATCTCCGTGCACGGCAATATCACGCGAAGAACCAGGCGGTTGCGCAAGCTAATTGGGTTCAAGTTGCCGCACCTTTGACAAGTGCTACGCACGGAGAAGGAGACAAACCGGCAAAAGGCGGTAAAAAGCGTAAAGCTCCTATCGAAGCCAAGCAAAAGAAGGAATTACAGAAGCAATCGGCTGTAAAGCGTGCGAAGCATGATACTAGCAATGCCAGTAGAGACGATGCTGGTGCCTTGGATGTGGAGCACTTCACACCGGTGCAAAGAGCGAAGAAGAAGCAGGTACACGAGCACTTGACAAACGAGCACACGCTTTTCGTGTGCAACGTGTCGAAGAATGCTAGTAAAGATGAGATTGAGGAAATATTCAGGGACATTCCAACGTTGAAAGATGTGCGACTTGTTGCAAAGACGCGCGGTGATCGAGTCAAGTCGCGTGGTATGGCATACGTACAATTTGCGGACGACGCTGGCGCTGAGGCAGGACTCAAGAAGAATGGATGCTTGCTGCACCAGCAGCCTTTGCGTGTTGAGCGCTCAAAGCCGCCAGCAAGTGCCCCCTCCAACGGTGGTGGTTTGAAGCCGAGCGGTAGTGAAGGGTTTTGGAAAACCGATCCATTGACTTTCTACGTTGGCAACTTGAATCGTGAGGGATCTAAGGAGCAAGTGACTGAGGAGCAACTTCAGGCCTCGTTTCAGCAAGCAATGCAGTCCGTGGGTGAGCATGTGGTGGTAAGCCGTGTATCTATACTGAAAGATCGTCATGGCAAATTGAAGAACTACGGCCTCGTGGAAGTGGCCGAGCCTTCACATGTTGCAATTTGCTCAGGCAATGTAGCGGCACTCCAAGAAAAGCTAGGCGACCAAGTGACGCTGAAGCCATCTCGCTTTTCGATTGCTCACATCCTTGAGCAGCAGCAAAAACAGCAAAAGCAGAAAGAGCAGCGAAAAATGGGTGGAGCTTCTTATGAGACTCGTGGAGGAGCCGCTAGCAGAAGCGAAAACGTGTTGCATTCACGACCGTCTACACGCCTGGTTCTTCCATCGGCTACAAGCTTGATGCCGCGCGCACTTCGCCGGAAGCTGGCTGCGCAACAAAAAGAAGCAAGTAAAACGGAGGCGGGTTCCAGCTACGAAAGTGTGACACCCAAGAGTAACGAAGACTTTCGCAAGATGCTGTTTGACAGCTAGGTATGACCGAAAGGTTGGCCATACAATGTGAAGGGCTGCGTCGTCGCGATTTGACTTGTTGGCTCTTCGCGCGGTATAGCAGATGTCCCGTGTGGGAAGTGATCTGAGCGCACAGCTCTCAGTCCCAGTCATGTAGTCGCTTCCAGAAGCGTATGTACTCTTGTTGGCGAAGATGTGCTGAAGTTGGAGCTGGAACCGTGATATGTCCGATGTCATTGGCATTCCGATGCGTGGGATCCTCGTACTCGAGCACATTTGTCGTCTAAAGATGTCGGAATCTCTGTACTTGCAAATATGAAGCGGAGGGACGCAACGTTAGTACGGCAGATCGGGTGCAAGTTATTTGATACGAAGTCAGTCGGCTCGAAGGTGCAGTCCTGTAGCCCATGGTGATCGATCATCTAGCAAGCCGTCACTCTTCCTGTCAAGAAACCTGCGTGGTCGCATTGATTGGGATCACACCTCAGGTGAGAGACCAAGCTGTTGTCAAAGGTAGCTGAGTGGCAAAGATGGAGCTGTGATGGAGCTATGATGCACAACCTGTTCACACCAAACACGCAGCATGCGTTTGTGCCTAGGCACCTGACTTGCACCACGTTGGCCACGTACTTGTCGCCTTTGCTGCTACAGAAGTTACAATCGTTATGAAAGTGTACAAAAGGCTGAACCACAACGATTACGACGTTCCTGCTGCCACCAATACATCAGTAGCCACAACAGCCGATGCTAAATCAGTTGCCACTACAGCCGTTGCTAACTTGCACTTTATGTTGACCTACACTTTGTTGCTCCACTCTAGCCGACTGTCTATACTGACTTCGCCCTTCTGTAGGCTGCTAGCTGCGAGTTTGTTCCTATGGTGACAAGCTAGAAAAAGGGATAGTGAAGCCATTCTGTAGGTAGTCCCGAGCGAGGTGAAGCCAATCCATTCGATCAGTCAACCTACAACGACGACCTCAGTCGTCCTACAAAAATAATAACACGCACCAATGAATTTAAAAGCGATAAAACAAGTGTCGAAACATGGACGCGGATGCCCCCGTGGCAGCGCAGATATCGCAAGCGGACATCATCGAGCGCCAAGCGGAGTCCATTGCACGGCTCAAGCGGCAAGTGAAGAAGGCCGTCGAGTACAAGCAGCTGACCAAGTCCAAACTGAAAGAGGCAGCGGCCAGGCTGAAGGAGTATCGTGTGCATGTTGAAACGTTGCGCGAAGAGGGCGAAACGCTGAAAAAACGGCTAAATGACGAAAAAAGCAGTCATGAAAACAGCAAAAGGTTGCACCAAAACGCGTTGAAACAGGCAGTAAAAGCGGTAAAACAAAAAGTGCATGCAGCGACGCAGACACAAGAGCTGGAATACGTGACGCAGGCGAGTCAGACACGATTGAGTGGACACGTGGACCAGATTTGCAAGAGCAGTACAGTGGACAGTGAAGTTCAGACGGACGCCGTGCCGGTCGATACGTTAACGTCTAGAAAACGCACTCGGGGACACGCCGTTTTTGGCGCAGTACACGATGAAGTGGATCAATTGGTGCCAAGACTTTCGAGACCTTTTCCAGAAAAGGCACATCACGATGTCTCTACAACTGAGCCAATGCTCGTGCTGACGGCTGTGAATGGTGCAGCAAATTTGACGGAAACAAGTGCAGCACTCGATGCTGAATTGGCGCTTAGTGACTCGGAGGACGATAGCGATGAGGCTTTAGCTTTGGAGATTGACAACCGACAAGAGGATGCAGCAGCACAAGACTCGGTGTTGGATTTATCAGTACTAGACGAGATTGACATGGCGCTGGAGATGATAACTGACGAAGACAGGGAAGGGTGTGGAGCAACTTTGGAGGAGAAACGTAGTACAAAGCCGCTGCTAGGAAGCGTCGATCCGGCAATGTTGCATGAAATTGACAAGGAGTTGGGATCGAGTAGCGATGACGACGACAAAGGGTGCGTGATAGATCCAGTGACAACTGGCGGGTTGGCAGAAAATGCAAATAGCACGCTAAACAGTGGGGTAGCATGTCTTGCTACTGAAGAGCAAGCACATGTGTCTGCAGACGTTGATGCTTTGATCGCCGACGCTATTGATAAGGAATTAGCAACAAGCAGCGATGAAGAAGACAGTGTGGAAGAAGATAGCCTCTTGGCAAGATCTGATTTGAGTGCTAAACCTGTCGAGCGACCCGATGTAATCTCAAGCAACGTTCACCAGAACAAAGAAACGCTAAGGTCTATCGACGAGGAATTGGATGATGAGTTTGCAGCTTTGGACGCGGACTCGGATAAGGATAGCCACGAACAGTCCAAAGGTTCTTCTTCTTCTAGTGGTTCAAGCAGCAATGGCGACTCGAGCGGCAGCAGTAGCAGTGAATCTGGTGACGATGGAGGTGACCCCATAACTAGCACTAGGCACAACGCTGCTGAATGTGAATTTCCTGATCCAGTGGAAAAGAAAGAGGTGGAAACGAAAGTGCAGCGAGTAAAATATGACGGCAAGTTAGAGGCACATTTATCTCTTCCTGTCGATAAAGGTGCAGTGGATTTAGCAAGACCGGTGGGAACAAAAGGTGCTAGCACATCGGAGGACGTGAATTCGACGATGATTGAAATGGAATTGCCGGCAAGAGCCCTTGATCCTTTGCAGCTGGGCAGTAGTGTGGAACTCAGTGAAGTCGAGATAAAACCTGGCAGTTCTGAGGCTTATCAACCAGGCCTTGAGCAGAAAAATGACAATGACTCCATTCCGTCAAGTGGGGCTATCACCGACGGCGGGGATGCTAACGCTGCAGTCGCTGACACTCAGGTTTCTAAAGGTCAGAATGTGTTGAAGCGACCTACGCCTTTGGCGCCCAACACCAGTGCAGATGAAATGACAGAACTCGAGGCAGGTTCCATTTCGATCTCCGAGCCAATATCAGACCTCGTCTCGGTCGAGATCCTCTCCGCGTCAACAGATTCCGGTGGACAGGCTGCTGAAACTCAATCTACCGATAACGAGCCTCCTAAAGTATCATCCGTCATTGAATGTAGTGCGATTCGGAAAGTGCGGAAGGTGGATGAAGCGAATTTGGAGAGCATCCAGGGCACCTTGCAAAAGAAAGCTAAGCTGGACAATACTCATCAACAGGCAAAATGTGAGTCAGGAGAAGCACTTGTATCGTCAACGCAAATATTGGCGGGTGATGGGATGTCAAAAATAGAGAGCGCTGATACAGATGAGGTCAAGGACGATCAATTGGCGAGAAAGAAATCTTTGTTGTACCTTGAGCGGGCCGTTCAATTGGATGAAGGCAAAGAACCTGACTACGAGTTTACTCGACGAACTATCTATATTTTGGTAAAGCAGTGCTCCGGATTCGTGAATACGTGTCCTGATCATGTGGTAAGTTGCTTTTTGTTATGTAGTGTGTGTTTCGACTTGTGGCAGCTATCTAAGAGGTTTTATCTGTCGTTTTCTTTGCAGATAAGCCTGTGTCTAGTTCTGACCAGGGCATATCGTAAGTTGGGGATCTCTCCAATGCTCGTGGTGCGTGCATCCCTCAGTGTCTTTCGAACACCACGGTCTCGTCGTTTAATGCAGGAACGGAAACTGAGTCTAAGCTGGCTTTGCAATCAAGTAGTGCTACAGGTTATGTGCAACAATGCCGAAGATCTAAGGCAAGATGGATCCATTGCTCCAGAGTCGTTGAGCTTGTCGCTCATCAACGAGTGCTTGTTCTATCTTCGAAATTTACTGGTCGAGGAGCGAACAAGTGTTGGTCAGTTTCTGTCGGATAGTAGCGCGCAAGTACGGGTTGCTGCACGGCCGATCAAAGTAAGCCACGAAAAGGTATTTTTGGCACATATCTGTGCCCTCCACACGCACCTTTGCCGCTCAAGTGGACAACTGGTTGCTTCGCGTGTGCTGCTCTTTGATCTGGTGCGTGACAACCCAAACATTAGAGGGTTGTACTTTGCGATGGTAATACTAGAGATCTATCCTGCGGTTCTGGAGCGTAAGTTCGATCAACACTGCGTCGAGCGTCAACTGATACTGAGGGAGACGTTGCAGCAAGCTTTTGTCTATATATCGGGCGTCGCCGCTGCAAAGCAGGAGCTTTTATTGTATCAGCCAAGTACGACAATGCTTCATACCATCGCTGATGCTATCCAGATGCCTGAGATAGAAGAAGTTGATGGCAGCGATCCTAGTCTATCGAGGACCTCCGTGGAAAATCTGTTTGACAAGGTCTCAGCTCTCTGTGGAGCATCGCAATCTCGATTACCAGACGATAAAGTGCAAAGCTATGTGGCAGCTGATTATTTCGCACTCGCAAAGAGCATTGAGCTATGCGCGGCGGTCTACGGCCTTGACCTCGTCACAGAAATCTTCAGCGTCGATCGGTGTCAAGAACTTTTCAACAAAACGTGCGTCAGGAACAAGATCGGCATCATGTCTATCGTTGGCCATGTGGCCATGAGCTTCACTTCGAAGTTGTGCAACACGCAGACTTCAAGTGCTGGAATACAGCAGTACGTCGAGAATGTCGTTCAGTGGATGTACCACGTTTTGTCGACTGACGAAGTATCTTCACCGGATGATCGCTTTGAGTTGATGCTCGGGTGCTCAGCAGTGTGTATTGACTTGATTTTGGGGTACTCAGCGCCCGCTGGTTCAGAATCTCGACGGCGAGTGTTGTGTGCGGTGGTCCATTGGTTCGACACAATACCGCCAGAACAGTCGATAGGCTTACCAGCTACCTTTTTAAGGCGACTACGCCTTGCAGTGATCGCTGCCCGGCCGCATGTAACGGCGAAATAATTGAGACGGATAACAACAGACGGAGTTTGGATGCGGTTTTGACATGTCCAGCATTCCTTGCTCAAAGAAGTCACACATAGACGTTCTTATGTAGTTGCGACATCCAGTATTGAAAACAGTGGCGCTGGTGTGGGCTCGAATATTGCAATAAAGCGCTCCATTTGTGCTTGGCAGGGAGTCTACAAAGCCTAGCAGTAGATTCTTGGTGGAAGCAAGTGAGTCAACGTGAAGACTCAACGACATTTAAATAATCATTCACATTGTGGGAATCATACAGAATTCGACTTTTGCCACTTCATCTGATCTTGAATGCCGAAGCAAAAGACTCCAGCAAGCTAGTATGGATGGAGCGAGCTGAAACAGGGACGCATAAGGAGATGCAAGTCAACCTGGCTGAACAAGAACCAATCAAGCCGTATAAGGAGTTAGCATATTAATGCTGCTCGAGTTCCTTTGCGGAGAGCAGGGCAAGTTTGGTAAGGTACTCACCGGTTAAAAAGGCAACTCGCCTTATGGATGCAGTGATCACATGTCCATGTGCCAGTTAAACAAGTCGATGTAATTGACCACGGACGACGTTCGACTGTCAATAGAAGAGGAGTTCACTTTACTCAGCTCCTTGGATACGATGGCGCTGGATAAGTCAGCGCAGGAAAACAAATTATGTGAAAGTCACATGGGACGGATGCTTACAGTGATGTCTTTGGAAAAAGCTAAAGTAGGGGCAAGGACCAAGACAAAGAACGAACGCTTACAGTGTGGCAATCACAGGACCAGTGTGAAACGAACAGGTAGACGATCGTATATTTGAGTGTCCAAGTGGGCTTCGAGCCAATATGGGTCAGTGTGGGAGCGCTTTGGTGCAATGGTGCAGCGTCACTTCGATACTTACCAATTCCCCAAGTGCACATTTCTTTGTTTGAGTAATGCATACCTACACGCTGCCAAGGTAAACATTGGTGATCATGGAATAGTCAGTCTCGCCAAGTTTTGCTCACCCTTCAGTCGAAATGGCGAGCGGTGGGGCTGCATCGAGACGCAATGTTGATTATAATAAAATGATAATAGATTGTGGACAACTGCTTTTTGCCCAGCAAGTTCGCGCAAATTGTTAGAATCGTGTACACAACTTCCGAAGTTTAAAGGAACGAAATTGCCGGAGATTATAATCCAGGGTATCCTAGGGTTGATGGGCTAATGGAAGATTCAGAGCTGTCATACAGCGGTGCGGTCTCGCAAAGAACTTCGACGATGAGTTTTAAAATGTCTCAGTTGGCTGATACGGCAGCTATGGTGTAACGGGATGAGCCTGTTTCATGTAAATTGACCCTTGATACTTGTTCATTAGAACGTTATCATAAAGATCGATCATGCTCGTGAATATTATTATAAGGGGCAAAATTCAGAAACACTCATCGATTGGCTGATAGTGGTCATCACAGTGGTCCAATCAACGATGGACGCGCGCAACGAGTGGTAAGCAAGACTAAAGCATACATTTTTGTAGATAAATATGAATGAGTAAGGGCTAAACTTAGGTGCAAGTAACTAGGACTTGGTTCTTTTTTGATATAGTTTTACCAGCAACTAGTCAGTTCCTAGTTGCTTTCCCTTCCTCTGCGTAGTTTACGAACGCAGCGAGATACCACTTACACTGCTGTCGGTGAGAGTATCTCCACACTGGTTTTCCAGTGTGTTGCACCGGTTCCCACTACACCCGGAAGCACTTTGTAGTCCACTCAGGACCACAAAACCCGTTCAGCATGAACATGTTGGACGATGAAGGCGACGACACCTTTCACGGCACCCGTGAAAGTAAATTTCATTTGAGCGATGTCGAATGGAGTGCGATCGAACAAACGGGTTCGACCGTTGGCGAAGATGGTGTCTGGTGTCTGCTATCCCCGACGGATAGTGACCAGCAGCATTCCGTAATCACCAGGTTCTTGCAATTAGAACTTGACGCATTCGCGGTATAAAGTGACCCAGCTGCATCAGCAAGGTCACCTTCAGACTGAGCTATTGATGCAGCTCTAGTCTAAGTCTGCCTATACAGCGTCGATGCTCACGCGTCGACGCGAGACTCTAAAGTTAGAAGTCTCCCAGAACCGGGGAGTTGATGATGACTCCTTTATGAGATGGTTCCTTGAAAGTGGAAGATTCCATTAAGGCTCGCCACATCGACGATGAGGAAATGCAAGTTTCTTTTGCGAAATATAAATGCAAGTTCATTTGCGAAATAGACATTGTCAGAGCGTGCCATAACGTGGACCCCAAATCTTCATTTACAAGATCCAAACATATTTGGTTTGTTGGCGGTCTTTAAGACTTTGTTCAACCAAGCAATACAGCCGCCAAGAGCTGAGTTCAGGAATCTTTTGTTCTCCTGAATATAAAACAAGGTAAGCGTGACGTTCACGTTCGCGCTCAGCACGATTTTTATCTTGCAAGTTACATAGTAGAGAACCTTGTAAGTGATTTCGTGTTGCTCACAATATTCTTACAGGACCTTACAGATGGTCTCGTGAGGAAAAACCTGATCCGCATCGAGTTGAAGTCGATAGAATAAGCGATTATAGTTGCGACGTAAGAGGAATTTGCGTGAGACGGCTCACACTAGCTAGATCACATCTCGTCCTTCGAGACGAGTAGAGGCGGATGGCCAGAACCAATGGACCTATGCCGTGTTAGGAGTGATAGATGTCGCTCTTTAAACAGAAAGCGATCGCAAAAAAGGAAACGCTGTCAGAAGTTAGGACACTAAGCCTACGAGTGTAGTGCTTCACGCCAGCGTCCAGAAACACTGATCAAAATGATCAATTGTCTGCCAAGAAGATCAACTGGCGCGGGTCAAAAACTGTTCAAAACGCTGTTGCAAAGTCACAACAGCGTGGTGTACCGTCAAAAAAAATTAGGGTCTGTAGGGGCGGAGCGCCCTACTGATCCAGTAACCTGGATGTAGTTTGCTTACCTATTCATAAAAGTTGCTTCATGCTCACAATCTTTGTATGTCTCTGCACTTGGTGATAAGGCACCCCTCATCGCCTTTAACTCAGAAGCGGCAAAAGAATTATCGCTTCGTGCCTTAGTGGACTGTGGGGCGTCGAACAACCATGTTCGTCGCCAGTCGCTAGAGGATCGTAGGCTCAAGTTCGTTGCGCGCAATATTCCTCCTACGAGGTTAACGGTGCGCCTTGCAACAGGCGCATCGATATCATTGATGAAACATGTAGTAGAATTTCTCTACACAATAAAAGGGTCACAATACGATAATAATTTCATCGTACTTAATTTAGATGACAAATTCGATGTCATCCTGTGATTACCCTGGCTCGTATATTACGAGCCAATGGTCAGCTGGTAGCATTAATCCCGTGAAGATGCCTGGCACTTGTCTATCAAATGACCATCTGATGAAAGTCTTGGAGTGTCCACAAGCGTTTGGATGTACTTTGAGTGGGTGTGACAGCATCACTTACAATACGGTCCTTAGAACGACTGCAAAAGATCACAGTGTGACAATCAACGACACTGTGGAGGGAGCTGCCCGAGGCTAAGCGGGTGCACACGCAGCGTCAAAGATCCATTACTCGAACACGTCAAGTGGATCAAGACATGTTTGTACGCCTAGTGGGCGACATCCAAATTAGAATAAACTAGTCCTCCACAAAGGGCAACACAATGATACTAGATCGGCTGGAGACTCGATCGTAGAGGACCTAGCTGTGGTAGTGCAATTACAGCTAGCAGACGTCGAGGGAATATGTACACACGTAATTGAGAAAGAAATGCACCAAGCAGTTGTTGATGAGGTAACAAGACATCATCAGCCTAAATGAATTAGTCCCCATCAACCTGTGGAAAAGGTTCCCAAGAAGACACCGACACATTAAATGTCTTGTTTGTAACGGTATAAGTGTGGATGCTTATACATTTGATCTGCTAATCGCGCCTCCAATGTTGACTTCGAAGATCAAATAATTGCCAACTCTCGAACCAAAATGATTCTTGCGAGATCTGCGCAGGGGCAAGGTCAGAAAATTTGCGTACTCGTCACAGAGGACGAGTACAAGACCAAAATTCGGTCGCCATTTGACGAAAAAGAACATGTTCTCATCAGCTTATCGATGGTCAAAAGTGTCCTCGATGAGAAAAATCGAAACGAGTTATACTCGCCTTAATCTTAGGAGTAACTTCACTTCCGTCAAACCCTTCATTTAAAAATTTAACCGAATTTAAGAACGTGTTCCCTGAATCCATGCAACGCGAATTGACTGATAACAAAGGCGCTCGACATGAAATCGAGCTTAAAGCTGGTTCGAAGTACTGTGTCATGATGTAGTGGCCACTGCCTCGTGAACAGTTATAGCGAGCAACAGGTTCTTTGCCAATCGCGTAACTGCTGGTCATGTGAGCTAATCAACTTCCTCTCACAGCTCTAAAACCTTCTGTGTGCGCAAGGTAGCGGGAGAATGGCGAATAGTGCACGCATTCAACAACTTAATGCTCCAACGGTACCGGATCAGGCGCCGATACCGAGGAAAGACGTACTGATCGATGGTATGCAAAGAGTGCCATTTCTCAGCGATGGATCTGATGTGCGGGTTCTATCAGACCCTAATGCGTGAACGGGATATCTCGTACACATCAGTAAGTGTCTAGTAACTCCAAAATGAATTGCAAAGCCCCTGCCACATTCACGGATGCGTTATAAATTTGTTGAGACTGGTGCGAGAAGTCGCACCCATTGACTTCGACTATGTATTCGTCCATAGCCGGGCTACGGGTGGAAAGCCAGACGTAGAGGATCAAAGAAAACACGTTCGTCAGGCTCTTACACTTACGCGAAAGCATGAGCTGTTTGCCAACTTCAAGAAGTGCAAATTCGCTGCCAGCAAAAAGCACTTCTTGGGTGCATCATGGGTAAACACGGCGTACACCTTGATCTAGATATGATCAAGACGATTGCCGACTGGACTGCGTCTTTCGACGTTGAGGGA